AAATCGCTTTAGAATTTGGTCTCATTTTGAATTGCGCAAAAAAATTGTGGAAAAATGGAAGCGACATGATAGTTAATAATATAAAACATTGTCGAAAATTCAATGTTAAAAAATTGGAATTGGCATCCATCGAAACATAAAACTCTATGAGAACCAATCGAGGAAAATACTAGTGGGAGTTTGCGCTTATTTTTCGGAGCAATTATGAATCTCAACCGCCTCAAATTGAGTGTGAAATTACGGAAATGCGAATTTCTTGACAATTTTCTAAACCATTGTTTTTATTACTCGGCACTCGTGGCTATTCGTGTTCAATTTTGTCCTATGAAATAAATCGTAGGTATTTAATAATAATCCAAACAATTTTTTGAAGAGATCGAAAAAAAAATAAGTGTCTACATCAATTATAAATTCCGCGAAATTGAAATTTCATTGGAAAAAAAAGGGAATAAATAGAAAGCAACACGCACACAAAAAATTAAAGGAAGAAGAAAAGGAAGAAGGGCAGCAAATGAAGAAGCAAAAGAAAATAAAAACAGATTGATAGAATATTGGAAGTTTTGCATGGGTATTTTCTGAGATTTATAGCGCCCCCTTTTTTGAGATTTAAAAAAGAGTTAAAAACCGGCGAAAAAAGTTGAATAGAAAAAGATGACGCTGGCGTACTTTTTTGCCAATATTTCAGAATTTTCTCAATTTGAAGACATCTTTTTTTAAAAATTGAAAATTACTTAATTTTTCCCAAAATATGTCTGACGCACCACTTGCCTATTTTGCCCACTTTCCAGCTTTTTAAAAAATTAATAGTATAAATGAAGAATTTAAGATTAGACAAAAGCCTGACGCCTCTAACTATAACAGCATAATAAAAAACGAGATTTTTCTAATCTGAATCGGTACTTGAACCCTGAAGAGACGACGCCTATGCTCAATTTGCAATAAAGCTTCTTCTTCGTTTAGATTTGCCTCTGAACCTCAAAAAATCAAATAAATACATGTAAAATCAATTTTTAAAAATATACAAAAATTTATGTGAGAAGTTAAAAAGAAGTTTCGCCGAAGGTGTCGGAGACGGCGATGACAACCCTTCAAAATATGTGCATTTTGGCTCATGATTCTCGAATTTCACATTTCCCTTGAGACTCATGAGTTGAATGAACAAAAAACCCGAGTTAAAATAGTTAAGTTCGTATTGATTAAGAAATTACCAAATACCTTATTCTAGTAGCTCCAATCTTCTCATTTTCTGATGTAGCCCCATCTGAAATATCACAATCAACGCAAAAACTAAATTAGAAAATTAATAGTTAGAATTAGATTTGAACTAATTTTTATTTTGGATCGCCATAAATTGAAGGAAACAAATATTCTCTAAAATATATTTTATTTTATTAATTGATTTTTTCGCATTCTTGACTATTCGTAATTTTAATATCGTTAAAATCTCTAATAAATGACAAACTCATCAAGAAAAAATTAATAGTTTGTGCTCTTTCGCAAATTTTTTACTTGATTAATTTCTACACAAAATTTAAGACGAAAAATGAAGTTAGTAAAAAAATATTGATAAATAGGAGGAGAAAATTCTGGAATTGTTTGGCATGTTTGGCATAGTAGCTTGTAGAGCGGGATATTGGCACTATCGATCTACTATTTTATTTAGAAGCCTAGTTTAAAATATAATAATATTTATTTATTAAACTAACACTACAAAATGCGCCGTGAGGTGCCCTGAAGAGGGCCGTTTGGAATTCGTGGGCCGATTGGCCTGACTCGACATCCCCCCTGAAGGAGTGTCGAGTCAGTTGATCTCCTTCGCCACGTAGAGGCTCGACAGTTGAAGGAGAGGCTCACCAGCATCAGGCCGAAACCTGATGTGGGTCATCGCCGATCCCACCATGGGGATCACCCAAGGACATCCCACAACTATCATCCGAGGATAATAGAAGTAGAAGTGGTTGGGCAAGCCACGTCTGGCTGGGCCCCGGGTCTACTGGTGATATGGTAATGTGGTTTTTGTGTTCTCAACATAGCAACTTACTACAAAGTAGTAGCAAGCCACTACAATGTAGCAAGTTACTATGCCAAGAAACACGGTCCATGTGCACCCGAAAGGCTGGACATATTGACATAGCTGGCCAATCCACGTCAATATAGGTCTGGGCCAGATGACATCCTGACTAGTATGGAGGACACCCGGTGAAGCAAAGTTCTAAAGCATAACCATCCATAACGCCCACCAAGCACTCGAGAGTACTTGAAACGGACGTTTGGGTAGGGGACGGGAAGCCTTGGCGTTTGGGGGAATGGCCGACTACGGCCCTAATATCGCCGACTACAGCGGATTAAATAGAAAATAAATAGAGGACCTTAGTATGGGGTTATGCTTAATGGTGGGGTGATGGTGAATCGATTCACCGGCAGGGTCCTTCGATCAGCAGCAGCAGCATCGACGATACCTAAACACCTAAAAAAATATGTACACAGAAATTAATACGAAAAAAAATAAAACGGAAGGGGGAAACCAGTCATTAGTGGAACGACTGGCATGACCGTAAGTGGTACGGTTTTCCCCCGGAAAAAACGAAGAAATGGGTGGTCCCAAACGGTAGGACCGAAAAAGAAAGAGAGAGAATCCCAAGTGGTGGGATATAGAGGAGGAAGCCGCGAGTGGTACGGCAGGGGGATCAGTCGACTGATAGAGAGAAGGGGACAGTCGCAAGTGGTACGACTGGTAGCAGAAAGGGGAAGGGGAAGCCGGCATTCCCCGAAAAAGAAGAAGAGATGGTCCCAAACGGTAGGACCAGGAGGAAGTACAGACGTAAGTGGTACGACTGTATAGAGAGGAGAGAGGGAATCCCAAGTGGTGGGATATAGAAGGGGGCAGTCGTAAGTAGTACGACCGGTGAAAGTGAAAAATAGTAATAATAAAAAAATAATAAAAACTTGGACCTAACCAAAAATTACCAAAATACCCGGCGCTTTTGCTCTTTCCTCGTTGCTTCATCGAGCCGTCGCCTTCGACTAGATCCATTCGATTCAAGACACCTGTAATGATCCGAGTTATTCTGATAGACTGTGACTCCTTCTTTACCTTTCGAATCCGCTTCCTCTTTCGTCATTCTCCTTTCTTGCTCTTCTTCACGTGTTATGTCTACTCATGAATGTGGGTTTAACGTCGGCCTGGACGCGACACTGCAGTAGGGTTAGTACTGGCTTACCGAGTCGCACCAGTCGAGAATCCCCGACACTTTCGACAAAGCACATCGGAAGAGCTCGAATGAGCAACGACTGTGGCTCTCATCGGATCTGCAATACGAGGAATTGAGAAGAAGGATTGCGATGAATGTGACATACCGTGTGGATCCTTGGCCATGACACAATGCGAGGCACGCGGAGCCCGCAGGTTATGCGGGAGCACGTGGAGCTCGCAGGATTTGCGGGGCACGACGAGGAGCCCGCAGGTTATGCGGGGCACGACGAGCCCGCAAGATAGGCGGGCTTCCCGCAACTCGAGGAGCTCCGAGAACTGACTAAATTGCGCATCCGACGGCCTTTTATAGTGCCACTGGTGTCGGTGCAAAACTTGCAATAGAGCACATTTGTCGGAACGAACTGCAAATTGACGCCAAGTGTCCGTTGATTCTCTCATGTTTGCACACTCTCTGAACTCAGACGGTGACGCGCATTCCCCCGATCGACGCTATTTTGCGGTTCCCGAACGACGCTGTATTTCGGTAGAGCGCATTTTGCATTTGTATTTTGAATTCCTGGCTACAATGGATGTTACGTAGAGTAATTTTTTTTCAATTTATGGAAATCGTTTTCAGAATTCAACTTTTAGAATTGATTGGTTCCTCGCAGATTCCTTGAATTCAATTCTTCTCTAGAATTTTTAAATGTATTCTTTTATTCATTTGTTTCAGAAATGCCATCGTCTGAACATATCAGCAGCCATAAAAATCGTTTTCAGCTACTCAGTTTCGGTTTTTAAGAGTTCTGAAGGATTTCATCCATTAAATAAACGCATCGGTGAAAAGTTATTAAATTTAAAAATGAGAAGAACGTTTTGAATATAGTGATTTTCACGTTTTTAAATGTTATAATTCATTTTCGAAAAAAATGACGAGAATTGAGGATATAGTGAAGTGAGCAGAACCATTCCCTTACTTTTTTATAAATTTCTTTTTTTCAGAAATAAACCAATTGGTGGAGAAGAAGTTTTCTTGACTGATGGTCCGAATAACATCAAGAACACATCGATTGACCAGGAAGGGACGACAGTGGCGATGACTGGAGCTCCGCCAACAGAACCAACAAATAAAAAAATCAAAATTGTACTAGTAGAACAAAAGTTGAGAACATGTTGATTTTATTGCAAATCTCGAATTTTAGACGAATTGTGGATCTTTTTCTTCCAGCCATTGCCATGGGAGCCTCGTTTCTTTTATTGGGACAGGCCGTTTTTGCATATCTCATTTTTTTCGTCTGAAAAAAAAACTTTTATTAGGAATAAAATTACTGTCCCGGAATAATCCAACTGAAAACACCGACACTGACATTTTGCAGCAATTTTTTATTTTTCTCCCCCAAATTCAAAACTGTCTTTTTTTATTTTCGTTCTTTTCGATTTTAAGGTAAAAATAAACATACTTAGTAAGTAAGTTAGTAAAGGTAAAAAAGAAGGAAAATTCTACTTTTTTGAGCGGCCATTTTTTTGGTGATTAGTAATGAAATTTCAATTTTTTTTCGTTCTTTTTAAATGTTACCTGCATCCTTTAAACAAATAGTGCAATATATCCAAATTAAAATTAGATTTAAATTTCTCAAATTTATTTTAAAAAATCGATAACTAATTTAAAATTTTAATAATTATGTTAAATTGGTTCAATTAGGACCGCTTTTGGGACATCCAAGAAAAATAATCATGGCCTAGAAAATTTTAGGTCATATCTTGGAAACGCGGTCATCGTTATTATTTTCGTTTTCTTTTTCCAAAAATGGAGCCGCTTCTTCTGCCATGGAACGCAGATATTCCCTCATTCAGTGAAGATGTCATCGAAAAGGTATATTAAACATTCGTTTACATTTCTATTTTGTTTTCAACAGATTTCGGAGGAAATAATTTATAAATTTCCGTGTAGCGAAGAAGACGCAGCGAAAATTTGCGAAAAGTTCTCAGAAATTGAGGATTCTTCAAAAACAGTAATATTTCTTAATTTATTAATAGTAAAGCATTTTTTGTAGGTTGAAGCTCTCATTCAACTTTGGACTTTTGCCATTTACTTTCAACACAAGCCAAAATCTATGCAGCAAATTCTAACAGAGGTTTTAATAAGCGACATTCACATTTAAAATATTTAGCTATTTCAGAATAATTATCCAGAATCTGTAATCAGCGGGTTTTTCAATGTTTATCTAGGAGAGAAACTCGTTGACGTCATCGAAAGGATATCATCACACACATCTTCTGGAATTCCACGCGTTCTCAACACTGAATGGCTATCGCAGACAATTATTTCCAGGTAAAAATGAATATCATAAATTGTTAATTTTTATATTTAGGAATGGCTGCCCTGGAAGTGAACCTCAGATAACCCTGACAATCGAAACTAATCAAGGCCAGAAGCAGCTTCAACTATCTGAAAAGCAGATTAAAAAGCTATACTATGCGACCAACGATGTTCAAAACTCTTTAGATAATCTATTAAAGCGCTAAATTTTATTTATTGAATACCTGTAAATAACTGTAACAAGAAAAATAACAAATATAGGAAATCTACGAGTTTCTCAAAAATTTTTCGAAAGCCACTGGATAGGTTTTCGCGGCGAGAGTCGCGAATCCAGCGTCGGATGGATGAAGAAAATGCTCTAATGCCACTAGATCATCATTATCATCGTTCACGTCTTCTTCGTCGTTCTCGATAATTTCTTCAACTTTTTTAGAATCGGCAAGTTTATAATTAGAGCGACCCATTTTCCGCAAAAAATCATGCCTAAACGAAAATCGGATATTCGATTTGCTTCAACTTTTTTTTAAAAAGAAAACCTTGATTTAATGCAGCTCAGCGAGCATCGCAGAATCAACGGATGCTCCAGAATCGTCGCATTGTTGATTTTCATCACGTCACGCACATATTTATACGTTCTCGATACCAATTTGGCGTCTAAAATGAACATATTTCGAAATATTTTCTAGAAAAATTCTGTCCTACCCATCATAAATATCCGTGGATCAGTAAGAACAAAGGTTTTGAGATCCTGATCGCCAAATCCAAGCTCATTTTTGAGCATTTTCACAATCCTCTATAAAAAAAACGATATTCTCCAAGTGTTTGCTGGCCGCCTACCTCGATAGGACCCATTCCGAACATAATAATCCTCGGCTCCTTGACGACCACTTCTCTAGTCAGTTTTGCAGTCAGTTTGAATTGCTTCTGAATCCATCCAAGCCTCGAATCAATCAACTCAACATTGCAATTCAACCAATAACTTAAATTCAATTTTCATCCAAAGAATTTATTTGCAATTCTCACCGATAGCCCTCAACTATTTTTTTCCGATCCTTCGCATTGAACTTCTTCATCTCCAAATAATTAAGACGCGTCTGAAGATCATTAATATCCTGCAGAAGGAAATACGGATTCCGCGTGAGGTATTTTCCAATCTCATCGTCGAGAAATCCAATATTCCGCATTAATTCCACTTTCTGCTTAATATCTTCCATTCGAAGTCTCAACAAATATCGGCCAATATTGGTTGTATGCTCAATCTGGATTAAAAAAAAACATTATTAAATTTGGGATGGTCTCACTTCGGCAAGATTGACTCCAATATCAACCAGAAGGCGAAGAACCGGAGAATGATTGACAAATGGGAGCATCGAATGCGAATGAACCGGTGGTAACGTTGAAGGATCGAACGGATGGGGATTGTCTCTAAAAATTCAGCCAGCGTTTTCAAGAAAACGAAAGAGGGCTACTTTGATGGAGGTTTGGACAGATCGCTGTCATCCAGCTCGCCTTCCGAATAATTTTGTTGCCTGTAGATGGCTCGACCTGCGAAAAATGTTGAAATGTTGCAATTTTGGAATCCGTCGAAATTACCCGTTTCTGCTTTAAGCTTCCTCGCGTTTAATATCAACTCTTTCGGAATCGTGTCAAGATTCTCTAGCTAAAATTTTTATTTTTCAGATTTTATTCGTCGAATCTTAAAACCTCAACATTTTCTTGTTTCAAACTCGCCAGAAATTCATTGAGAATTTCCAAATTCGCTTCCTCTTCAGCCAATCGCGATTCATACGATGTTTCGGGAATTATTTTCGCTTGATTTTCAATTGCTTTTGATTTCAAGACAGCACTCGTTGATGGTTTGGTCTAGACGCGATTTGGTCACGAAAATTTCTCAAATTTGAGCTACCTTAACAAGATGGGAACTGCAGCGGGCATATGATGCAAGCAAATACGTACTCCGTAGTAATTTTCCTGACACTGACATTCACTAAAATAATTATTTGCTATTTTTTGTCAAGATTCGTATTTTAAAATATTTAAACGACCAAATTCGTTTTTATGAATGTTAGTTTATTGGATTTAAAGAAATTAAAAGAGAATAATTTATAAATTATTAAGAGCAAATTTCTCAATAATGTATCCAATGGCAAAATACACGTTCGGGGGTCCGATGAATTGTTGTCTGTAAAGTGCGGGTAGCTGGGAATATGGGATGCGAGTCTGAATATGCGATTTATTGAAGAAAAATAAAACTTGAGAAAATATACTTCAACAGTGTATTTTCCATATTTCGGCTCAACCTTCTGTATCCCATTGACGTCAGCAAGGCAGATGAATTGAGCGTCACCGGATTGCCCGATACCCACTCTGAAATTGAGATATCATCCAAAACAATAAATTTTTTCGCTTACAGAGTTTTCGCGATCACTTTTAAATCCTTCTCCGTTGGTGAATAGCCGTAGTCTTGCGCAAGTGATAAAGCCACCGATTTGGCGTGTTCCGCTTCGACAATCGTACCAATTGATTTCGCTGGAAGTTCCAACTAAAATTGAAACATGGTAAAATTTTAATTGAATCTATGATACCAAATGAGCCCATTCTTGTTTTGAGTAATCATATTCAATCGCGCTAATGTCCTTTTTGATATTCTCGCGCATTATTCGATGGCGACCAATAAAAACGGCTAAATGCTTTAACACCTCACATTTATTTTTTGAAAACGAATTACCTGGCCGAAACTCTTGAAACAAAATAAGACATTTCTCTTTGGAATCGTAGAAGATTATACAGGTAGTGCTCGGACGAGTAGAGAGGTCCCAAAATCGTTTCATATTATTCTTCAATATTTTATTTGACTTAAATTAATTTTTTTCGGATTTACCTGGGTGAACGTCATTCGCTTCGGCTTCATATGGTAATCAGCACAAGTTTTTGAATTTCCAAACTCGCCTGTTAAAGTAATTTTTGTAGTAATCTTTGGTGTCCATTTGATATTTGAATCAATAGAAATCTTAAAATATTCTCTTAAAGCGAATTTCAGCAAAACCGCAATACCGAATGCAATTTCTGCCTCAAAAACCACCATTGAAAGGCGAAAAGAACCCCAGGAGGTCCTCGGATATCAGCAAAATCGCTTTCGACAATTCGCTTCGCTTCTTCAATTGAAATATACACTTTGGTGATGACCTCTCCTTCGTGGAAATTCCCGCCGCCCTCGCTGATTTTCTTCGATTCATTGATTTCGGCGTAGTACATGTACTGAGTGACTCCCGATGTGTGCGAACCAACACTGAATTAAATTTTTAAAAATATAATAGATTGGAAACTTACATAAATGCGGAAATTGGCACAAGATCAGATGGTTCGACACTATAGCCGCATTCTTCCGAAATTTCTTCGCTCGCAGTTTCATCGGGCTTCAAAGATGGCTTATCCATCAAACCGGCGCACAATTCCATCGTATATCCCATTTCCGTGTCATACTTTTCCCAATCGATTTCATTCCAATCTTTTAAATTCGGCTTGTTTTCTTTTGAGAGGACAGCGGTCGTGAAAATCGCTAAAAAATTGTAGGAATTGAATGTAAAAAGAGAATTATTATTCTTACCTGGCCGGAATTGTCTCACAAGCAAAAACGCATTTTTTTCGGTGTCGAACAACAGAATTGAAACGCTACTCATTTTGATATTGTATTCACCGACATTTTCAATGTGGTCCTGGCAAAATCACGACAAATGCTGGTAGAAATGAAGGGGTTTGAATACCGTACGATATCCAAATGAGCATTCTTTTTGGTAAATTGATGTGAAATCGGTTGTAAAAGAAACATCTTTCAAGTTTGAGGTCATTCCGGCTACCTAAAATTAAAAAGAAATGAGAATTGCATCAACTTTTGCGGCAGGGAGACACAAGAGATAGAGAGATGTAGGCAAAAATACGATTTTCATGATTTTTGGGCGTTTCTAACAAACTCCACAAGTTGAAGTGATTTATGGTGAAATTTGGAAAAAAATGCCACTGAAAAAAATTGAAATGAAGTTGAGTACGCAAACACCTCCCGACAACTTACACACAAAAAGGGTAATGTTTCAATTTCAATGGAAAATTTGTGTGCGTGATTTTGAAAATGTTTTTGAATAGTACTGAAAAATGAAAAAAATCGTTTTCAATTTACTTTTTTTCTCATATGTACACTAAAAAATTGTGTCATTGGAGCATCCAAGAAAGCCGATAAAACGCCGGAAAATTGCCCCGACTTTCAAAATCACACAATCTCTCACACTCTTTGCACCAGCTTTTAACCGAAACTCGCTTTCCTCGGCTGTATCCAACGATTTATCAAACATTACTATTTTACTTTTAATATTAAAAATATTTATTTATGGGCAAAAAACACTTGTTTATCGTCACTTAAATAGTTTCCGGTGATAAAATCGACAGAATCCTCAAGCGCTGATTCCCATCGTTCAACGGCGTCTCGTATTTCAGCTTCATTAGAGGAATCCGACAGTATTTCTAATAGACGCTCAATTCTGGAATAATTTTTTAATGAATATTTTTTTATTAATGGATGATTACCCATCAATTATTGCAGTTGGATGGCTTTGCCGGAACCATCGTTTCAAATCAACCAATTGATATTTTGGTGGCCGAATGTCGACAAGAGTGTAGAAGTACTGATGGAAAACCTTCATGAATTTATTCCGACGGAATCGAGTGCTTGATGATGACAAAATCAGATTCGTCAAATCTTCTGCTGGATTTCCGAGATGAATGTTCTACAAAAAAAGTCAACTGCTTGTCAAAGTTGTGTTCAAAAATTCAAACCTCCCATTCCAAAATTTCAACCAAATTGCCATTCTCATCAAATCGGCAATTTTCCGAAGTGAGCCGTCCATGGCAAATAACCGGATGATTGTTAAAATCATCATCAGAATTCTGATTAACGGAAGAAATATGGTGCAACAAAATGCTCACCTGAAAAATTCGAATGAACAAATTGTCTGCGACTTTGCGGTCGTGTGAACAACAGAGATAATAAGGTACAGTATCCAATTTATAAATTACCTTTTCCATCACAGTGCCCGGGCTTCTGAAGTAAACCGAATGCTCATTAGTCAATGCCATTGACAAAATTTCGATCAGCTGTGATTGAATTTTTCTTTTGTACAGTCTAATATTCTCATAGTTTTCTTTGACAGCGGTGGAAAACTGAAAAAAACTATTTGATGCGACTTATATTAGAGTTTTAAAATTCCACAGAGATTAATCGCTGCGAGACCTTACATTAAATAATTTTGGGTGACTAATTTAGATGATTTTTTTTAAATATAGAAATTGAAATTACCTCAGAAGTAACGACTCTTGAATTTAGAGAGTGCATAATTGCAATTTGCCTTGCAACTTGCTCATAATCGGTGAGCTCAAAGTCTTTTTTCGGATTTCCTTTTTGAAATTTTGTGAGATATACAGCATAATCATCGATGTTGTCATGAATCTGTGAAATTTGGATATGAGGAAAACTTTAAATTTTAGGAAAAATAACCAACTTTGAACGACGAATGAAAGCGAGCACATGGAATTTGAAGTTTCTCCGCAGTAATGGCTTCATGCCAAAATTGTGAATTATAGTAGGCCGCCTAAAAGTTTTTATTTCAGGATATTCAGATATTAAAATTCTCCGTATGAACCAATTTACAGCCCTCTTCCAATGCAACATTGAGAGCATTTGTATCCTTGACAAGTTGCACTCGGAAATTGCCAATAGGCGTCTAAAATTCCTGATTACGATATCAATTAAACGTCCAAAAGGGTAAAGACCAATCATTTTTTGTGACTTGAATATGAATTCTAAAAAATTGATTAATTGTCGGAAAATATGATTTTTAAAGATTGGACAATTTGGCAAATTATTTGTCCGCAGATATTTTTATTTAATTCCCCCGCTTTCTTATATTACGACAAAGTGTATTCGATTCAAGCCTTACCGTCAGTTCCATTGAAGTGACACCATTAATACTAGCGGATGGTGCCGATCCTTGAAATTGAGCTACGCCAAGCTCTTTGGCGACTAATTTCGTCACTTCCATCGGAACTTTTGGAAAAGTTTAGCGCGAATCACAATAAAAAATGTATGATGATTCAATGTTGATAAGCAAATGCAGACCGCGACGTCGTTTTCGCTCTTAATGATTGCATTTTTCATTCCAGTGCAAACATGCAAACGTTTTTATCAAACTGAAACATCTTATGGTCAATAATCAAGTATAAAATTATTTAGAAATCTGTGCGTATTAATTGAATAGAAGACGACGCATATTGGCGACAGAGCGAGTTTCCTGAAATTCCACAATTTTTAGACGTGAAATTTCAACGAGAGGTGTTTGCACAAATTGCGTGAGACTTGACGCAAACATACAGACGTCACTTTGTTCTGATAAAAAATCCGAAAACTCACATTTTTGAATAGATTATCATCCCATTTCGGGAAGAATTTTTTGAAAGTTGGCGGTTCTTGACCCTGATAAATCGTCTCAATGCTAGTTTTCGCATGTCTTGGGAGTTTTCCCTTCTCAAGATATTTCTAAAATTATTTTTTTTGGTCTAAATCCATATAGTATTAAAAGTCGATACCTTTGCAGTATTCAACGCTTCCTTCTTCTCATTGGTATTCGCATTGGCCCCAACCCAAACGTAGATCAAATTCAACGCGTCGAGAATCATAACGTCATCACCGTCTAAATCTTCTTGGGTGAAATTGACGATCTCCTCAACGTGAAGCATTCCGCTCTCATCGGACACTTGGAACAACAATGGCTCGAACGACTTCTTCTGCTTCTCATCGACCCAATCACGGAACCATTGAGTGAATTGAGTTGATTCGGCCGATTCCAGAACCCTGGTGACTTGGGTCCATCGAGGAAGATGCTAGAATTTTAGCAATTGAATATATATGTGAAAAACTCGCGCAATATTGTACATGTTGTCTTAAATAATTCTCGCCCCAAATAAGGGCTTTTGATCGTTCTTCCAACGTGCAATTCTTTCCGATCCAAACGAAAACTCCACCGTTCAACGCGTCCAAAATAAATGCATCCTGAATTAAATGAACATGAGTTTAAGATTTTTGGGAAATAAGCGAACATTTGAATCCAAAAGCTCTCGTTTCAGATCAAGTCCTTGAGCAACCATTGTAACTTTCATAGTTCCACTAGCATCGGAAACTCTGAAAACCCGAATTAAAATGATTCAGGGTGAAAGTCTCACTTCCAAAGAGTGATTTGCTCGGTCAGACGCTTCCAATAGTTATCATCGTCTTCTTTTCCAGAGCCGACTTGTTTCAAAGCTTCAACGCCGCCAAAATAGCTCCAGAAAACCGGATCATTGTCCCATTCAACGTCATCAAGAATGTGAACATTTGAATGAGCTTGTCTTTCAACGTCAGCGATGTTCTTGGCGCGAGCCATTCCCTAAAACAAATTTTTTAATTATGCATTCACGAACAAACAGTGTTTCACCTTGATTCTTTCCAATCTTCCACTGTCTGGCGGAAGCCAAACGTAGATGTCTTTTCCCAAATCAAGAATAAACACGTCTCCACGGTTGAGCGACTTCACCGACACCTCGACTTCAGTGCACCGAATGTTGCGTTTTCCTTTGCAATGGTAAAGTCGTGGCTTGAAGTTCTTGAACGAATCTTCAACGTGATGATATCCAGATTCATAGCCCCCAGAAGCGTATCTGTAAAGTGTTTTGAAAAAATCAAGCACGGAAACGTATAGCGGTGTTGTCAAAAAAAAGCAGGACTCCCTGAGCTCTGTAGAGCTTGAAACGAGTCGGGACCCCCCCCCCTGTTTTGAATTGCCGCCTCCGCAAATAACAAGAAACAGGCGATTGCGGCGCATCCCGGAACATGTCCGCAGATGTTTACAATCAAACATTTCTGATTAAGATTAAAAGAGAACAGAGCGCGAGCCTCCATTTTGGGAATTTTCCATATAGAAAATAAAATCTAGATGTACCGAATTCCATCTGGAAAATAGGAGAGGAACAATGGAGATTCGTGGTCCTGAATCTCTCTATGCTGCGTTGGAATCCCGCCGAGAGACTGTAAATGAAGAAAAAAAACTTGAAATTAAAATTGCTCAACTAACATCATCGATTTCCACCGTTTTGATAGCAGCGACTCCGATCTCATCCGTCGACGCATTCTTGCCAATCCAGAAGTGAACATCCCAGCAGCCTTCATATTTTTGCTTAAAAAATCCCAATATCCACAAATTTTTTTTCAGTGCAATTTACATTCAACGCGATGTAAGTGTCGCCAGTGTAGAAAATTCCATAATCGGTCTCAGGCACCTTTTCCAATTCGAACTTCTAAACGCTAACAAGATTTCACTTTTCATTGGTCTCATTTTTGTCTGTTTTGTGTAAATATTACACATCATATCGAAATGATGAGTATTTTGAGGTGCTAATCGCTCATCTTATGTTTTTTTCTCGTTCCAACTCTTGCTTTTTGACATCGCTGACCGCTCATCTCGCATTTTCGCAATGCTTATGGATTTGCGATGAGTCAGAGTGCAATACACAAAATAAAAATGATGAAGGATTACTAGAAAGGATCGGATCGGATTTAATTGAATGCAGAAACCTAGATCATTAATTGATGAATTAGGAAAATTTAAATTATTTTGTTTCTCTATATTATAAACATTTGAAAAGTACGTAGCTTATAGCAACACAATGAAAAATATGCTCGTAATTCAGTATCTCTCTATTAAAGGAGCATCAGAATTTTTTGAAGGTCTTGAAACGATAATAATGTCTATTATGATTTTTTTGATTAAAAGTCAATTTTCTTACATTGATCCTCCATACAGTAAGCCCATCTTTTTTTCCAATATCCTTGAGCGCTGGGTCATTCGTTTGGATGGGCATCTGCAAAAAAACGAAACGAATGGGTTGAAATTGGAACAAAAAATGTCAAGTGGTTCGTTCATTTCGACAAATGAAAAGATCCGTGAGATCCAAAGTGTAAAAACGCTCACATTAATCGGCGTCTCGTCGCTCTCAAGTGTGTTTTCTCATTGGAGTTTACAACTCGTTCATGGCGATTAAAGCAACGATACTTATTTTAGCTGCTACAAACAACACCAGGAAAACAATGCCATTAATTTTGAATTGGAGTGGATATTGAGGGGTGCCATTGATTCTGAAAAAAAACTATTTTGAATGGGGTGTATAGCATGCTTGAGATGGGCCAAGCCGGTCTGTCTCAATATTTCATGCCTCAAAAAATTTTTTTAATTATGAAAATTATCATTTTGGTGATGTTCTATTTAGTAGATTAAAATTGGCGATTCGACGCAGTTTAAAAAGCAAGTCCGTAGAGTTCATCCTGCGTGCTTACACAAAATGTTGCATAAACTCTGCGGACGTGCATTTATCTACGCCCAAACAAACATTTTCAATAGTTGCGATTTTTCCCGAGAAGTATCACAAATGTTATTATTTGTGAAAAAATGAGCCTTAAAAAGCTTGAAAACATGCGTCGAAGTTCGAAATCAGCAAAATATTTCCCTGGTGCGGTCCTGATCACAGTTTGACAAATATGATAGATAGCAATACTCCGAAAGAGACCATAACTAACCAATAGCTTCTGTAATTTTAACACACGGAACTCGGGTTTGGCAAACTTCGAACTACGCTGATCTTTGTCACCAAAAGTTTGTTTGTATAGCAAAACAGTAAACGCAGCGAGCAGGGTTCGAACCTACGCGGGCAATGCCCATTGGATTTCAAGTCCAACTCCTTAACCACTCGGACATCGCTGCACATTTTTCAAGCCAAAATAGTACCAATATAAAGTGAATGGTATGATTACGGTAGCGTTTGAATTCCCGCCTTGGGTCTCGTAAGCAAAAACTCTAACAAAGGGCGAGTTTGCTTAATTTAACCAATAACATTTTCTAGAAATTTAAAACATTTCGGTTATTTTTAAAAGTTTCAAATTACGGGGTATAAGCACATTTTATTTTATTGACGAATTAACTGGCACCCGTGTAATTCAAATTTGGCAATTTTTGGCGTCCTTGACAATACATGGGTGAATAATGAATGAGTCACAAAGGCGGGCGAAATCACAACAATTTCGCCCCATTTTCCAACAATTTGACAAACAATAAAATATTTATAAAAGAGATTAATAGTCATTTACCTCGCGACCCCAGTCATTTATCGATTTCACCTTTTGATTTCATTCTGGCCACTGAAAAACCAGTTCTGTTTTGTTCTATTGCTGCTATTTTTTTTTGAAAAATTTTTTCCAGATAGTTCGTGCACTTTTGTTTGCCAATCTCTTATAACACTCAAAGGTATTCATTTTTTTGCTCTATTCATGTTTATTTGTTTGCTTATTCCATGTCATTTTTGAAATAAACACCGATTATTCATTTTTTCGAAAATATTTTCTGCCCTCCCGAAGTCATCCAAATTCAGAATATTTCCGTTTCCTTGCCCAAACATGCAATTATCAATTGCTTGTTTGCCTGAAAATGGTCATATATTAGATAAGACTCATAATCACCTTAAAAACGTCATTATCCTACGCATCGCCTGTTCAAAAGGTTCAAATAAAATCGTTCATTCGCCACCATTTTTGAATCGAACCTGCTTTTTTCTTTTTAATCCAACTTTATTTTATATTCCAGATGAAAGTGTTCTCAATCCTTCTCGTTGTGTTCATTACCATGCTGGCTACTGTTTCGGTAGGTCATAATAGAAATCCAATTTGACGTTTGGTGTATTAGAATGCGTTCAATGTTCCACCAACCGGCATCTGCTATGCTCCAGTTGGAGGTGACTGCTATCGATGTGATTGCAAGAAGCCGCTCAATTGCTACAAAGGCACTTGCCGTTAAAACGTATCGATTCCGGTGAATCATGGGAACAAAATACCCTAAACATATCGAACGATAATAAACGCGGTTTTGCACTTGTGTTTATAACGCACCATAAAAAGAGGAAACATTAAAAATAGACGGGAGTTTACAGGGAAGTTATTTGGTGCAAAGGAACCATAAAATATTAAATATTATTACATATTATGACGATTTTTTGGTGGCTCGAATAACAGTGTAGGTGAATGCGACGCCGAATAAGGCCCATGCAATCGCCGTTTTCTTGTTTTTGACAGCTTTGAAATGCTTCCAAATGCTTTCGGTGGTGTTTGACACTGTCTTAACGTCTTCACTAAAATCTTTAATCAGTTCAATTAATGCACGCGGAAGTTACGTAATGGAATCAAGCTGCTTATCAAGAAACTCGGTCGTATTCTCCGTAACTTCAATTCTCAAACGTTCTTCGACTTCGATTTGTTCTTTTTCTTCTTCATCGTCCGTGCTTTTCTCGAAAACCTCTATGATATCTTCATCATCAAAAATCTCGTCATTCTTCTCCGGGACATAATTTTCTAATTTGAATAAGCTTCCTTTTAATGGTTTTTCGCCGATCTCATTTTTAAGCAAAACACGAGCAGCCTGCAAGTGCCATTTTGAAGAACCAAAACAACCGACGAGAATATACCTCATCCAGCGAATTGAGCTGAGAGACTTGACCGTTTTCCTCGAAGAAAATTCTGCCGGATGATAATTGGAAAACCTAGGAATCGTTTTCTCGACGCAAAAAATTTGTGGCGAATATTACCTCTTCAACAACTTTTTTCAATCGAATGATGATTACGAAGCGTTTTGGTGCCTCTCCTTCACGAATTTCGGAGAGCTCGGGGTTTCCTGGGCCTCCGAACACGGGAACAAAAAGAACATCAACAATTGATGTAAGCTCAGCGATGTCTCTCTTCATTGCAGAAACACCCGTTATTTTGTTTGGTGGTAGCTATTCAAAAGAAATAACATGTAAAAAATTATATTTGTCTAACTTTGACCAATGGTGGCTGGAACTCGCTGACGACAGCGCGAGTCAACGCCAATCTGAATGTTACACGCTCGCGAGCACTCATTTCTATTCCGGTAACCTAAGACGAAGACCATGATTGAGTCTCGAAGAAGTATTATTATTTTACTTGGTCGGTGTTATCAACTCCGATACACAACAGCATCAGATGTTTCGAGTTTAATGCAGCACAGAGACAGGTCTGAAGCAAAATCTCGAGAAAGAGCGAAAGACATTTTAAACCTGAATATCGAATGTTGTCATTTTTTCATATGATTTGTTATCAAAAAACAAAGTCCAAACATCGGTGACTTCCTGAATTCAACCAAATGGTTTGAATTGCAAAAAAAAATTATATTTACGGGAAATTTCTGCATGTAGTCAAAATACTTGGGAACTTGTTCTGCGTAAAGGTCTTCAAAAGTTAAATTTTCGTGGGTAACATCGCCATCATCTCCCAGATTAATAGAAACTTCTGTGGTAACAGTGTGTGTGTTCTCATCAACAGTCACCTGAAAAATGATTTCGTATGTAAAAAATTGTTTTACTAACTTTTGTGTCGTTTATTTCATCGCTTTTTTTGACTTGTTCAAGAATTTCGTTCTTCATTTTGCCGGTGACAATATTGTAACTCGCACCAGAAGAAACGCGACCATATCGAAAACTATCTTGGGTTAGGTCATATAAGTCTTCATTGTTATCGAACAAGTCTCCTTCCGCATCACCAAAACCTCTCTAAAACATGATTATAAAATATTTAATTCTCACGATTAACAACTTGAGACAACTGTTGAAATGTCAGTTGGGAAATTGGTAGTGGGTCGTCAACAATAAAATGGATTCCACCATTTTCCTTGTCGAGATTTGATTGGCGATGCACTGGAACTCCCATATCGTCAAGTCCCTAAAACCAACATTATATGAGTTAGTTATGAAGAGACATACCGCCAACTGATCGTTTGTAAGTTCAGTCGAGAAACCTCCAACAACTTCCGAGTCGGAGTCTAGATCATATAATTTTGTTTTCAGGTAGTTCTCTGAACAAGATATTCGAAAAAAAAATCATTCATGAACAATTACCGGATACTTCACCTTCTTGCGAAAAAATGGTATCAGTTTCGTATTCTTCTTCAGGTGGAACGTTTGACATAATTATAAAAATTGTACTTTCTGAAAAATGCAATATTTTTATAAAAATGTATACATACTACTATTTTCACATAATTAAGATAATCTTAAGAAAACGAAAAGAAAACAAAAAACAAAAGAATCGATAATTTAATTTATACGACTCTTCGCTTAGGGACCATTAAATTACAGTAATCGTTATAAATGTAATTTTTTATTTTGCTCCAATTTCTTAAAAATTTTCAAGTTCTTTAAAAATGTTTTTGGCAACTTGAATCATGTAGAAAACATTCAAGCGTAAAATTTAGAAAAATTAGATGTAACTTTATCAGTACAGCAATTGAGCTCTCCGTTTGACCTATCGAGAAGCGCGAAAAACATTGCGCGCGAATGTTTTTTAAAACCCCGTTCGAAGGATCTTGTTTTATCAAAGGCTCCTCTACGTATACTTTGTCAGCTTATTGAACATTTCCGCGTTAATAATATTGTTTCCAGGTGATGGGGACAAATCTAACACCATTTCTGTTCATATTTTTATTCACTCGTAAGTCTAAAATTCATATCACGCAGCGTACCCTGTTTTAAGATGTAAATACTCAACATTACCACGAGACCCCTTCAATTTGCCCTCCCAACTTCAGCGGCTCATTACAAGGAAATTCATGCAGCAGAGAAGTATTTCCGACTTTAATGTTTGACATCATATTACAACTCGTTTTAGTACTCAATCTGTGTCAACGGAGTACACCAATCTGCATCATGCGACGAAGACAGCGTATTTTACCAAAATCAATGCATTCCCGCTGCTCAGTCTCCGGAGTGCGCCATCAGTAATGATGATAGCAAATCGTCAAATTTTGGTGTGTCATAAAAATAGTTTTACTAATTCTATCTCTTCAGACTGTTCTTCACGTCAAGATGGTTCGTATGCAATCGGGTGCAGCAATGAGTTTGTACAGTGCGTTTCTGGCAGCCCGTACACAGTATTCTGTCCATCCACGTTGGTGTTTGTCGAAAAATATCAAAAATGTTTGGAAAGTTGCGACTCGGTTTACGAAGGTGCTGTTGAGGAAGATCTCGACGGATCTGGAGAAGTATACACCTCTTCTCGCGATAACGATGAATCTTCAAACCAAGGTTTATAATTTTAGATTGATAATTAAAATCTGAAATTTAAGAGTTCAATTGCGCTGGACTAAAAGACGGAAATTACCCTCAAGGCTGCTCTCCATTCTTCTTCGTCTGTGTCGGTGGAAACGCTTTCATTAGCTATTGCCCAGCTGGACTTGTATACAACGAAAACCAACGTAAATGTTGTCAGACGTTTTATTTTTTTTATTTAAAAAAATTTTAGAAGCCTGTGATTATGCGTGCACTAGCCCAACAACAACGACACCAACAATTGAGCCAACCTCTACTGTGGAAGATGATTCATACTTGTCTACTAACAGTGTCTCGCCCACAACGGAAGATCCGACTACCAATCCTTCGAATTACGAAGAGGCGACAACTGAAGAGGTTACCACATACGCGCCATCGTTTGATGACGAAGAGACGACAACTGAAGAGGTTTCCACATACGCGCCATCGTTTGATGACGAAGAGACGACAACCGTACTAACATACGTTGAAGAAACCACAACGCCAGGGGTTGACGATGAGGTGACCACTTCTGTCCCAATTCAAACTACAACTGAAGTTCGAGTAAGCAATATTGTTTTTTTTTTTTTTAATATTACAATGTACTATATTCCAGGTATGCGAAGAGGGCAAGGTAACTACGTTTGGCGTTTGCGCGTCACGCTTCTCAAAATGCGTTAATAACTTCGTGCGAGCGAAACAGTGCCCAACTAGCACGTTGTTCGAAGCGCCTTTATTGTTGTGTGTTTACGATTTGCCGCAGTGCCAGCCAACTCCGATTCGTCCAATTTCTAACTATTTGAAACCTGACATTGTTGTCAGCCCATTCGATGACAGCGAGGCTCAACTTCAAAACTATGGGCGCCGAGGAAGGCACTGGAGACCACTCATCGAAGACCCATTCTTCACACCATCTGAAACTGGTCATAGACACCACAAATACGGACCAAAACCATATGAGCGAAAGAAGTATCGATTTGTTCGTAAGTGATTTTTTTAAAATTAATTCTAGAAAACTGTATCCAGCTGGAATCGATTCACCATTCTCTACATCATTCCGTGGACGCGCTTTCCTTAACGATAAGTTCCGGGACCACCGTCGGCCAAATATGGATAAAATCTACTATCGTAATTCCAAGAAAGGTGGACTTAGGCGCATTTTTTATTTGGATGACGAATTTGACAAGCCTCATCCGAGAACGTTCGCTTCTGACATTCGTAGAGTTTTCCCTAGGTAAAATTATTAGAGATAATTATTTTATTTTATCCTGTTTATTTTTAGCAGTGACACCAGACGCTCCCCAGTTTATCCAGTTTACACTGCAACATCATATCCTAGCGCCTACGGATCAAGGAAGAAGAGATATGCCCCATACGGTAATCCAACATACAACCATGGAAACAGTGTTCGTCAAAATCAAGTGGTTGGTTCAATTATGCACCAGTATTGGAAGTGTTTGCTGGAAATTTCAGAACGAATACTGCCGAAACTATACCACACCTGTGTTCCTCAGCTTCGAGCAATGTTTCGATCGGTTTGTTTATTGCAGCGGAAACGGAGTTAACAGGGTTCGTCAAATTTTGCTCTTTGCATTAAATAGTAATACTACAGATGGCAGCTTGCCCTGTAGGAGAACATTTCGACAGACAGATTGGATCGTGTTCGGAAACTTGTGGAACGTCCGCTTCTCCTGCTGTTCCAATTAATTCCGGAATTGGAAATCAACAATCTAATGACTTTGGAGGCGAAGTTGTCAACTCTGGAAATTTCCAATCGACCAACAGTAATAACAAGGGATCTTCGGATAACACTCAATTTTTCAATGACAATAATCAAGAAACAATTGAAAACTCAACGCCATCGTCTGACAGCCAATCAACTAATGACGATTCTGCTACACGTCCAACACCATCTTCTGATTTGGCAAAACCATTGATGATTGTTAAGACAATTTGCGAAAAGTCTTCGAATGGACTGTTTTCTTTGGGATGCTCGCAGGAGTACATTCATTGTCATAATGGAGTTCCGGCCAGAAAGACTTGCCCGGCTGCTTTGTACTTTGATGAATCTCGTGCACTTTGCGACTATCGTGATAGCGTTGAAGAATGTAATATAACGTGAACCATTAAAAAAAAACATTTATTATTAATTCAGGCAAAGCATCTGATTCGAATCAGGATGCATACGCTCCAACGATGACACCGTACAAACCCACCACGGTTCCTCCAACTCCTTCTGGACCATCGTCGGCGGCTGATGATTCTCAATCATCATTCTACCAATCAACGACCGTATCACCTGGTCAGGATGTGCCGTCGACTTACACACCATTCGTCAAGCCTTACAAACCACTTCGACCAACACAAGACTCGATTTATCAATCACCAGTTGCGCGTGAGCAAGATCCATGCAATCGGCTTGTCGATGGAGCTCATGGAGAGGGTTGCTCGGCGTCATTCATTATGTGCGAGAAGGGTCAATTAATGAAAACCGTGACGTGCCCACTAGGTGAAGGCTACGATCCTTCTGTCCAAATGTGCAAGAGCTTTTCTCTGATCTCTACACACGCTTGTGGAACGCAAACCTCGACGGGTATATATCCTTTTTTTGAAAATAATTAAATTGCTTGTGTTTACAGGACCAGGGCTAGCGCAACCTTTGCCATACATTAGATTAGATTCAGTGACAAGTACGACAACTACAGAGTCTTCCGTTCAAAGTAGTCCATATAAGAATAACAACGATGCAGAGGAAAACAGAAGCGATTATCAAAACGTAATTTTTTTATAAAACTTTTTCAAACACTGTCTCATAGGTTTCTCAGTATGGCAATGATTCTGATGAAGACTCCAACGACTCTACGGAATCTTCGATTTATTCTACATCTGGCTACGAGTCTTCGACTTACACTGACGAAGAAGACAATTTGAACGAGGATATTGGGACGACGTCATCGCCAAAAGTTGTCTGCAAGGCCGGATCTCGTGCGTCTGTTGGATTCTGCTCCGCAAGCTATTTGGAATGCGACGTTGCAAAGAACACCTACGTTGTGAAGGCTTGTGCTGATGGAGAAAGTTTTGATGTCCATTCCAGTCAATGCGTCGCTTCAGAAAAGTGTGGACATGAAGCTATTCGTCAAATCGTCAACGATGTACTGATTATTTGATTTCGAATTTGCTAATTTTTTTTCAGGTTGTTTCTACTGGGCCGCTATACAAGCAGTTAGACAGAAGATGCGCCAACTCGGCTGAGAATGAGACTCGCTCAACGGGATCATGCAGAAACTCATACATTCGTTGCTCCAATGGAAAAACGGTTACCGAATTGTGCTCTGGCGGGATGATTTTCTCGAACGCGCACAAGAAATGTGTCGAGAGATCAACACTTATGGAATGCGCAATCGCAAGCGCGAAGCCAGTGAGCAGCTACTACAATAGACCGTCATCGGATGCGTTCTGCGACGGAAAACCGGATGGGTTGTTCAGAAATCCGGGAGATTGCTCTGGCATTTTGCAGGTAGCTAATCAATTGGAAAAATTGCTATATGCGACGGTTTTTCAGTGCTTCGGAGGTGATTTATTCGAGTATCCATCGTGCCCAGCTCGCCTTGCATTTAATGAAGTCACTGGAAAATGCGACTACCCGCAGAATGTACGAGGATGCGATACTAAAAACAACGACGAAGGTGATCATAATTTGATTCTTTGAAACGAAGTTAAAATCGTCATTATTCTAGGAGAATGCAGCGAGCACGGTGCGTTCCTTTCGGACGACGATAATTGTTCGATATTCTACCGTTGTGTGTGGGGACGTAAAGTGGAAATGAAATGTCCTCTCGGCACCCTGTTCAATCCAGCATTGTCAGTTTGCGACTGGCCGAGCGCAGTGCCCCAATGCGCCGGCAGCGAGGAGCGATTAGACGCTGATGATGAGCCCAGCTCGTATGAGTCTTATTATTAAATCTGGTTGTTATAAACACCCATCCCCTCAAACGTAGTACTAACATTTTTTATTATCTAACAAAAAACCCATCTATTGCATTAATTTGCCCAGTATATCCCCCCCCCTAAACTCCCCCCGCCCCGTTCGATTCTTGTAATCTAGTCAGTTTTCAATTAAAATTTGTGCGTCACCCCGGCTTCGATCCATTCATGTTGTGATAATAATCTGATTTATTTGCATGCTCAACGAAGACTCGAAAACTAATATTTTGTTAAATAAATCGTGCTATGAAAATGGAAGCGATGTGCCCGTCCCGTTTTTAAGCGATTTCGATTTGAACGCTCTCATCGTTGTCATCGTTTTTGACGGTGAGAACAATGATTGGCGGTCGCGCGTAGCCGTGCAGTTGCTCGTAGCAGCGCAAACGGCGCGTCGTGTGCACAATGAAGAACGAGAGGAGCGCCCAGATGGCGGGCAGCAGGAACTCGCAGATGACGAACACCTTGTCCTCGCTGGTGGCGTTGGTCTTCTCGAGAACTCGATTGTAGCTTCGCGCCGACCACACGGCGGCCCTGTAATTTCATGATTTTCGATTGGTGGAGGGGGTTCGACAAACCGTATTAATAAGAATAGAAGTTGAATAGTGGTGCACGGTAATGTGAGTAATGGTTTACGTGTCCACATTGCCGCGCCGAGACCCAGAACGCATGTGAAAATGTCGGCGAACATTCTGGCGACCTGAAAATGATAATAATACGCGTACTAATGGATTTTGGGCGATTACCAGATAATAGAGATCAAAACTTTTGAATTTCTTGTAGAATCGCCACGAGTTTGGGTTTTCGGCGGTGTCGTCTCTTAATTCGAAAGCCGTTAAAATGTCGGCAGCACGCTAGACCTTTTTTTGAATTTCGTCCTACCTCAAAAGATATGCCCAATGCATTATGTCGACGAAACACATTAGAACGAAAACGATTTTGAGGATTCGGAATCGAACCGACGGATTGAAAAATGGCCATGACTGAAGATTGATTGATTCATGATTGATTTTGAATTTAAATTGCCGCCTTGGGTCTCGTATGGAACAATTCTGGATTTTGAATTTGCGAGCCTTGGAACAGCACAATTCGAGATTCAAGAGTGTTATTAAATGTTCCAAAATTTATAGAAAAAACTTGAATTCAAATTCAAATAAAATTTTCGGCCTCTTGCCTGAGTGTTATCGAGTCGCTCATTGTTGGCGGCGCCGTTGGCGCTCTCATCGCCCGATTGGCCGTCGGCGCCGTTTTGCGCGTTTGGCGCATCTTTCGCGCGAACCGACAAATTGCGGGGAACTCTCGGCGAATTGCTCATATCCTTTAAAAATAAAAATTTGGAAAAAAATACAAAAATTGTTGAGTCGATTCACTTCGGTGCTCGGCGAGCCGCTGACGACTTCGCCGTTGACTTTGACGAGCGTGTTTTTTCGCGATCGACCCTCGCCGATTTTCAAGTCGATCGTGTTGCGTCGAGTGCTATCGCTATCCTTCACCTCAACGCGATCATTATTGGAATAATCCGACGGTATTCGATATTACCACTTGCACATTGACGGAGCCCTTTCTCGAATCGGTTCCTGGTTGGGTCAGCACCACCTGGCAGGGCCCGCTTGTCGATGAGTTTCGTGATAACGACAGCTCTGCAACGCCGCGAGCTGCCGACAAATTGCGGGTATAAGAAGCAAGCAAAAAAAAACACGAAGAAGAAGAAGAATGAATGAATGAGTGAGAAGCTAATCTCCCCCCCTTATATTCTAATCCTCATATTTTTCGTGATTAGTTTTCCATGGTAACATAATCGAATCAGGACGGACTCTATTGGGCGAGCTGAGTAATCAATTGATAATAATAATAATAATAATCTGCTTGCAACAAATCCTTGCCTTCCTGGAGCGGATTTGCCGATTCCGGGTCTTCTCATCGACACCTACTACAACCGCAATAATGTTGAATGGGTGTTCGGATGGTCAACTTTTTGCTTTCGTTGTGTTTCTTTCATTCTTTTTTTTACAGCCCCGCGCAAGACGCCTTCACGGGGATTTGGCGGATTTGTGTGCTCTCGGCTTGACGAAGAGCACACACGCACACACACATGTGCACAATAAGAATTCGGACGAGTAGTACTAGTATAAAAGATTAGGCGACCGACTGCAAATCGCGTTATGCGCCAACGGCTGAGTGTGTGTGTGTGTGTTTTTTTTTGCTTTGAGGTATAGCTGACGCAATCTAGTGTTACAGTATCCCGAACTGTTCCCAAATCGACAATTCTATCAAATAATTTATTCGTGAGATCAATTATATGCTTTGTGGCGAAAAACACGTGAATTGAGGGAATCTAGATCATATGCCTTGTTATTTTCAGTATTTTTTAGAATCGCTTCCGGAAGATGGAGTTGGCATCGAGCGACTTCTTCTCATTGACGCCCAGCGATGATGGATTACGATCAAGCGAGTTCTGAAAATCACGTTTTTCGAGAAATTCTCGTTCGCCTCCTGCCCCCTTCCCGCTTCCATATAGGTCATAAAATGATGGTGTTCTTTGCGCAGGCTGAATAAACGGCCTTCTCGCGCGCCTGATAAGCGACTAACCGAGTAGCATTTGTACAAGGTGTTGATATGGCGGATATCCGACGGCGAGAAATAGCTGCGCGGCTGCCACGGTATCCCGTTGAAGTTGTAGTGCATTATCGAATTCGCGTCATAGGCGCCCATATATTGCGATTTGTAGCGCGGATAGATTCGGAAGTTGTAGTGATTCGCGTAGGGGCCGAGACGGCGATCGCGATCGTCCCTACAATCATTGGGGCGTCAGGTAAGCTCTCTCATCAATTCGCCTACCGTTGATGCTCGTGATAGAAGCCGATGATGTGCATGAGCTCGTGCATCACCGTTCCACGTCCATTGTTAAAGAAGCACGACGGATCGAGCTTCATACGAGTCTCAACCTTGTTGTCGTGCGTTCCGAACAGATAGCCAGATGTCTGCCGGCCGATGTAAGAGAAGCAGCTGCATTAAAAAGGAATGGGTTAATGATGAGAGGGTATTAGCGAACCGTTCGAGATTGTAGTTCTTGCTGATTTTCAAATAATACTTGTCGCCGGCGTTCCTCGGTCGGAATCGAATGCAGGTGACGTCGTGGAACGCCTGCATCGCCGAGAGGATCACACTGCGCTCCGACGGCGTGTAATGCGATTCGATGTCGTACGGTACCACGCCGCCTTGCCAAAGGCTGAAATACACACACACATTGAATTATTAACATTTATTGCGAATTGATTATGATTACTGGGTATTCCATTGCCATTGGGCGAGCGCGAGACCGCGTTTGACGCGTGTTGGAATCCTCACCGCCACCGGATCATCGTTGTCGGGTTCGGCGATCGACCGACGAACGGGCACCTTCACAGCGATCGGATCGTCGTGATCGGGTTCCGACACGACGCTCAGCGATTCTTGACAGCTTCCAAGAATCTTACAATCGGATGAATCGCGTTTGTCGAAAAATCGCGACTTACCAATAAAACGAGAAGCAGGAAGCCGAATCGTTGCATACTTTTAAAGATTGCCTATGTGGAAAATCATCGTGCAAAACATGCTTTTATACGCGGCCTTTTCCATTTTTTGTCGATTTTGCAAAAAGAAAGATCAACTCCGCCCACCTCTCGAGTCGATTCGTTGGATCAGCACGATCAAATGAGTTGCACTTTCTTTTTTTGCGCGCGCGCGAGCGCCAAATACGGTAGGCGTTGAACGATTCGAGAGAGCATTGGAGGCGGCGAGACGCAGAGAAATTATGGTGTCGCGTGGGCGCCAGACAATTTTTCGTTGCGGACTTTGGGCGGGACGGATCAAGGAGAAAAAAATGGTTGTAACTTGATTATTACCATCTGCGGACATTTGAATGGTGACGCGTGAATTGTCAGCAGCTGCAAATGTTTATATTTTTGTGCGTATTTTTATGACAATTTTCCGAAGTTTTTGATGCTATTCAAAATGCGTTTTTGTAATCTCTGATTTGCTAATTTTGCAGCCCACATCGTTTTTCGGAATACAAAAATAAAACCAGTTTTTCGAAAATCGAGTGATGACGTCAAATTTATATATGTAATAAATATGTATTTGGGTGAAATCGCGAATCTTGAGTAGTTTTTTGATAAAATTACTGTATATCTCAAAAATTTCGTTTTTAGAAAAAACTATCTGCGGACAATAATAAGGTTTCGATCCCTCGAGGGAGTTTTTGAATTTTTGGCGCTTTTTTCGATAATTTCATAGAATTTGTCCTTTAATAATACCGTGAAATTGGGGCCATTCAATTTTGTTCAATGGGAAATTTTTCAAATTTAATATGAAAATTTATTCTAGTTCTTTGAAGAGATGCACGCAATTTTGGAAGTCTATAAATAAATGTTCATCTGAATCCGGCAAGGCTGAAAATTAGAAAGACTCTTGTGTGCAATATTCTGACCATTTTCTGAAATGCGAAATTGCGAATAGATTAAATAAATTGCATCTGCGGACAAAATCGGCCATCGAAATTGTCCGCAGATGGCTCTCTTTTATAAAAAGCGTTTTGCGTGTTTATTTTCCCATTCTTCCATAATTTCTTCTTGCGAATAATAATAATAATAATAATAATCGGAATGATGAATCGAATTGGTGCGCATCCATCGTCGGCACAAAGACCAAATTTGGGATTTTTCTTTTTTTTGGCGAATGACGCCAATTTCAATTTCAAATAAATCGACCGTGGGTGGGCCCGTCTCATTGTGTGGCTAATGTCATCTGAATCATCTGATCCATGGAGGCCTAGTATCAATCATTCAGGCGCTGTGGTTTTTTTCTCAATTAAATCGTCGGCGTCTCGACGCAGACAATATCGGAGGAGTGAGGGGGAAAACCTTGAACGCGTTGAGACCAAAGATGGTCATACTGTTGCGTCGCAGACGCCGGAAATCGTCGCGACGTCCCGATTTTGCATCGTAAATTTGCGAGAGCTTTTTGAGAGAGAACACAATTAATAGCAAATCGTGTTGAGACCTTTTTCATTAAAATCAAACTTCAAACTGCCTAATTATATATGTATGACTGATACAAAATTCCGGAAATTTCCTTAAGGACACTCTGATGTAATTGAACTATTTTAATTAAACACCTTAACTTTGCATTTCCTTTATAACAATTTTCAGCTGCGGACAATGTCCAGGTTTTCTTCAGAACGACAATTGAATTATTCAAAAGATATCTGGTTTTCAAATCATTGGCGAATACGGAAATTTGCATTGCAGGTGTTTATTATTCATTGCATCAGTGGGGGCCTCGAAGATGTCCGCAGCACGCAACTCATATAGTTATTCTGCATGTCTGTCAGCTCCGATGATAAAATACTCGAATTCACTGGATATACTGGATATTCACTGGATACATAGTTCTTTTTTCTCATTGGAAAGTTCAACAGATTTAGTGATAACAAGATTATTCGAAAATTTGCACTTTTTTTGTCAATTTTGACCGCCTCGAAAACAAAAGAAAACAACAAGATGAGATATTTATTGATATTTAAATAGGAGACAGAGAATAGAATTGTTTGGTGATGAATGAGAAAATTATCGGCCGAATCTGAAATTTTTGTTTTTTCTTGACGGGTTTTTTACGGTGATTTCTTTTTTGATTACCGCATATATGCCGACTTTCTCTTCATCATATCGTGGTCCTCTTCGATTGATCGCTTGCCGAATCTTTAATATTGATTTAAAATTTACAATCTTATGATTCGAAATTAATTACCTCATGTAGGCGGACTTTCTCTTAAAGAGCTCGTGCTCCGGCTCATCCACAAGTTCGAAGTCTCCCGAGCGTTTACCGAATCTGTAAGAACACATGTATAAGCAATTGGGCGGGCGGAGTTTCGTGTGTTGCGTGGCGCAGGTGGTGGGACGTGGATTTTTTGGAACCGGTGTCGCGGGTTCGATCCCCGCCCCCCTTCATTTTTGTTTTGTACCCACCTCATGTAGGCGCTTTTCCGCTTTTCGGCCGTCATCAAATCTTCTGGAGCATCGCGTTTGCCGAATCTTGAAACCGATAAAAAATCAAATTTAATTGGGCAATTATGATGAGAACCTCATATAGGCCGATTTTCTCTTCTCCATTTCGATGTCGTCATCGGCGGAAAACTCCTCCAAATCTCCAGATCGCTTGCCGAATCTAAACATATGTTTGAGCGTTTTTTTTCCTATTTCAGCGAGAAAGAGCAACCTCATATATGCGCTCTTTCGCTTCTCCATCTCCATCGGATCCGATCGTCCGAATCGCATGTATGCCGATTTTCTCTTTTCCATATCTACAAACGAAAAACATTGGAAAAAAAATCGCGACTCGAGACCCATACCATGATCGATTTCATTTTGTTGTTGTGCATATGTGATTGCCACCAACACCGCCAATGCAATTGCGAGCACCCGAGAATTCATCTTCTGCAAATCGTGTTCGAATTGAAAAATGTTGAAGTTCGACGAATAATACGCGCACGGAAACAAATATGTCTCAATAGGGACGAAAATTGGCATAAAAATGATTGAATATGCGTTTCCAAGGCGAAATTTCTTTTTTCGCGAGGGAGGACACACAAATCCACAATCTACAGACTCGCCACCGGGTGACGTCATAGTTCAGTGGCGCGAATTTTTGGCTGTCGATCTGAACTCCGCTGGTTCAATTCCACGCCATGCGTTTTCAGTTTTTCTGCAGCTGTTTTTATGCGATTCCTCGACACGAAACCCCGCCTCGTCGTACTAATCCTCTTAACAAAGCCTACCGTAATCCATTCAATATAATCTTAAATTGATATCATCTAATAGATTTGAGGATAAAAACACCAAGGGAGAGAGGGGGAGGGGGAAAGCGAAGAAAAGTTTCAGCTGTCTCTAACGAAATAATTGGCGAACGGTTGGTTGGATGGGAGTGGTTGTCGTCAGCCAAAGTGCTCACACGAATGTGAAGGCGGCTCGAAGGCGGAAAATGGGCGTGGCCCCGGTTGAAGTAGGGGGAGGGAGGGGGGGTTCCGACGACGGACGATTGAAGGTATTCTGTTGGGGGAATGGGCGGAGCTCCTTAAGGAGAAGATGGGAGGAAGGGAGTGGTGTGTGGGGGGGGGGATTCTCCGGAAGAGCGATAATCAATTATCGAGTAGAGACCCTCTCTCTCTTATGAATATCCAATTAAGACAATTTTTGAGCCATCAAGAGTTTCAAGGCAGCAGGAAATGCATGGGTTTTTTTGTGCCCCCGCCACCGCCGCGCAACAAATTTGATAATTCGATTTATTTGACCGGGCGGGAACAACACATTCAAGGCATAAATCTATATTTATTATGCGCTTTTATGATGAACGATTAGAACGCTCGTTGAACTTGTGTGTGTGTGTTTTGTCGAGAAACGAAAGTATTATGCGGAGAACAGCCAGAAAAAATGTTCTTGTTGGTTGAATTGCTTTTGGAACGGGCAACACAAAAACAAAATAATTTTCCCACAATTCTTCTCCTCAAAACGATCAAACATCCTCCTAAAATAGTATTCTGCTGCGGACAATTCACTGGTTGGTTTATTCCAAAAAATATGAGATCGATTTTTACATTCTATTTATAAGTTGAAGAGTTCCGCGTATATTAATAGAGCTCATCGGAGCAATGCAACAAAAATGATGCAGGTCCCTCACAACCATTTGTGGCGTATCCCGGCAAATGTCCGCTGATGCTTACAACGATATTAAACAAAGCTGTGTAGTCGAGACCCCCCCCCTTTAAAGAAAATCGCTTTGTTCGATGCATATCAAAAACCCAGAAGAAGAACGACTTATTGAATTCCATGTGCCCCATAAGATGCGATAGGACATTCATCATCATTATATGATATAGTTAGTAGGTATAATATTCGCAAACAAAAAATAGGAACAACGAAGGTGGGCATCACGAAGAAGCCACAATTTCGGAAGTGGCGAGCCATTCTCGTCATCTGCCGACAATTCGCGGGAATTATGATAATCTTCAATAACAGTTTCAACATTTATTTAACAAAAAAATAATAACCGAGATCATCGTCTTATTTGGGAGGGGCGATGGGGATTTTTCAAGAAATGGCCCATCAAAACACGCTGACGAAATTGCGATTTGAAAATTGGGGAATTTTTAAAAGGGGGAAGGGAGGGAAGCACATTTTTAAAGGCGCATGGTATAGTCGGGTCTCGAGTGGACGTCGAAAAACGCTCGTCTGATTAATCATTCCAAAAGTTTCACACTATTGTTTCGCGCGTTATTTTTATGTCCTCACCTTTACCTGAACATCAAACAACTTTGACTCAATGGACTGACTGATGTCATTTTTCGTTGGCCGAGATTACTACTATACAAACATTCTTCATGTTTTTTCCAATTTTTTATTTGATAAGCATTGTTGAAGATTATGAGGGCATATAGGATAAACATCATGAGGCTTCGCTTAAACTCGCGACTAAAGAATACTTTTTGAATGCGCCATAATTGATATGATAAGCGTGCTGCGGACAATTCGACGCTTTCAATTAACCAACGGGCTACAGTATTTATTAATATTATTTTGGAGAATTTTCTTTGCACATAAATTATGTTTTTCGAAAAAATTGAAAGAACGAAAAAAAGGGAAGAAAGTGATTTATGAAATGAAATTGGCGGCTATTTTTTTTTGTGGAAGTGTCTGTTTTGGATGAGCACAAAGAAAAATGAGGTAAAAATAAATAATAATAAATGCGGATGGAAAAAGTTGGACGAAATCCGATTTGTTTTTTTTTCTCTTTGCTCATTCAATCGAAAACCTAAAGGGCACATTTGGGACCATTGAAATTTGGTTGGTCGAGAGAGCAAAAAAAAATTGACGACATTACATTTCGGCATAATAAATGTTTACTGTCGTTTTTTTTTCGGAGTGGTCCTTCCTTCTATGGCTTTTGTTATTCCTGATAGTTTTTATCAAAAAAAAAATCTCAATTTTATGAAAAAATAGAGATATCGAGAGATTTGCGACCCAAAAACGAACATTATGGCTTTTATTAGATTTTTAATGTAAAATTATCGCGAAAATTTTTTATTTGGATCGATTTCTTTTAAACAATCGTTACGGGGTCCAAAATTGATTATTGAGTTGACTTCACTGGGTCTCGACGCTCGAAAATCAATTTTCCTGTCTTGTCACTTGTTTTTTCATTTTTTGGCATTTTTGAAAGCTTCTTTTCTGTAGTAATATGACAGAAAATCCTGTTCAGAGAATCAGAAAATCCGAATTAAAAAACATTGCTCTTGGTTTAACGTTTTTCGGCGATTGGCAAATTATAGAGTATGATAAAGTGAGAGACGCAGAGTTATATCGTTTCACATTTCAATATTTCAAAATCAAAACTTCGAGCGTTTCACGGCTCGCGGAAACGCTGGTATGGCCTAGAAAAATGTCTTCATAAATTTGGTTCGGTCACGGCCACTATTGATGGATTAGTTAATTTAATTAAGTAGAAATAATTTATTGGGTGTTTTTACGAACAAAATCTGATTTCAAAAACCGAATCAAAAAAATTTCGTCGAAATTAAGCGTTAGACAATAATTTTTAAAAGTAGCAGGTGTGGTTTTGTGCCGCACGTGCGTTTGCGGCGATCCATGAGCTGATCAGAAGTTTGACACGATTTTCCGAATAATTCGATATGTCTATTAATATCCCAAACAAAAGTTTAATAAATCATTCAAACTAATCCGAAACGCCGAAAATGTTTGTGAATTTGCAATATTGTCGAAAAAAATCCACATTCTTGATTCGAAAACAGATTTGGATTATGAAATCGGGATTCAGTGGAAATATCAAATCGTCTAAAGCTCGTATTATAAAGAGCATTTGGGTCTCAAAGCGAATCGTTCAAAAATTTGAGATTCTAGGTTGTTCTGTAAGACATTCATTTTTGTGAACGGATGTCTCGTCGTCTGCGTCTCTCTCTACACCACACTTTCAACCATCTCTGGCAACTCTCTCGACTGTACACGCTATTTCGTAATAGCCGCTGAAATTGAATTCGCTTAAAATTTAGCAAATTTCTTCTATTTTAAAATTTTAAAGAAACCTGGAAAGCATCAAGCAATAGATGATTAAAAAGCTAAGCTGCAATAATCTTTGAAAACATTTTGACTCATGATTTGAATTTCCCTCTTATAAAAAAAAATCATTCAAAAAACATTTGCAAATTTAATTTTGAGAAATCGATTCCTTGAATAATTTGAAAAATTCGAACCGTGATGAATTTAACGCTACGCCATGAATTTTTTTAGTTTTTGGATTAAGTCGACTCGATGAATGATGGAATTACTATATATGATAATCCCGATTAGACGAATATTTATAATAAGCGAAACTCGTGACGAAGCGCGAATCAAGCGAGTTTCGTTGAGAAATACACATGAGCCTAAAGTTTTGGGACCATTAATTTTAAATCTACCATGATTATTGGTGAGCAATGAATTGCTAATTTTCTTGGCGGGTGGTCAAGACTACTAATATGTAATTAGTACATCTAATAGATTTTCAGTGTTAAACATCCTTTCATTTTTGCGGACTGCTCGGCCGGCTTGAAAAATTTGCCACTCCAATGAAAACCATTTTCCCGTTTTTCTTTACAAGAGAAAACTGTGCTGCGGACAGCTCACGGTCCAAAGTCCGATGAGGGGTTTCTCAAGAAAATGAAAATAGAAGGTATTTCTTAGCGCCTGATCCCACAATTTATTGCAAAAAAGAAGCGGATTGCATTCGCATTGTTTTTTTTTCGCCAAATTAGCCGAATAAATCAATGGCTTCACACACGGAATCGAATCTAAATGCAAATCTCGGCAAAATATTCGCATGCGATCTTTTTTTGTTCCGCTCTTCACTTCCAGATTCTTGGAATTTGGGGGGGGGGATTCAAAAATCAATATTATATTATTAAGTGGAAGGAACCTCATGGGCAAGATGGTCCTTTTGGGACCATCATCATTATTTTTCAATTTTAAAAACGCCAAATTAAATTTGCGTTCACGAAAACCAAACTTTCGCGTTTCAAAGCGAGAGGGGGGGGGGGAGAAATCCTTTTCAAACGAAAAAAAAGAATGACAACATTCTAGGGTACCTTTTCGACAATTGCCATGAAAACCAATTTTACGATCTCAAGTATTATTATTTGACAAGAGAGCATCATAAAAATCGGGCGTTTGCTCCACGCGTTTGAAATGACTCCACTCAAAACGAGAGAATGGGCCCCGAAAAATACACGACAAGACATCCACCGCCAACCATCAAAAAAAAAAAACATGGAAAATGGGAACGAACCAATACGCACGAAAGGCAATAGTAGGAAAATTGAACTTCAAAAAAGCGGGACGGGGGGGGGGAGTTGCTCTAAATTGAGTGTGAGCATGCGATTTTGAAACACGACTCTTACAAACATCAAGCCATCGAATATTTGTCGATTATTAAATCCTGCTCGTGGTAGGACCATTTCGAATCGTAGGCGTAGACTAGTTTCGACCATCTGAAAATCGGTTAGTAAAAAAAAAATAAAAGTGAAAAATTTGTTAAATTCTTCTTGCAGCGATTCAACAAAAAACAATTTAATTTAAAGGCGCATATGAGAAAATGTCGTGATTCTTGTAGCGATTAAATTTTAAAAAACTGTAGTATTTTAGGTTTCGAAAACCCTCGCCGGGACCATTACGTAAAGCCTCTTACCTTGAGTCCTCTAAATCGCTGAACCAATCTTGAGAATTTCGAATAATGATTTCATTATATTCTTCTTGAGACACAACTCGTTTGGGAGCTGCAAATTAAATATCCATTTTTTAAATTAATCAACTTTTCTCTAAATTTCAAGTCTTCCATTATTGGGAAAATCTAAATGCGGCTATACAAAAATCTAGTTTGAGCAATTCGAATTTCCGTTCCAAAATCTGCATAGATTCCGCGAAATTCAAAATTTCTTCGAATCGTTCGACCACGACACAATTGCTGATAAATTTTTTGCGAATTATTACCAACAATGTATTCCGGATAGTTTTTCTCACATTGTCCCACATAATCCACAACAGTTCTTTCATCTTTCGATGAAATCGAAACTTGAATACAACGACCGTCGATGAAGGCGCCATGCATTTCCTGAAACATCATAATTATTATTATATTGCATCTTGCCATGGTTCATTTTTAATATAAAATAATTTTTCAGCAATGAAGTTGTGGACGATTCTAGAAATTCGCTAAATCCTTAATTATTAGACGCGATGTCTGCGTCTCCTTCCACCGCACGCTCTCTGAGCGTCTTTGCACTCTTGATTGTGCACGCTATTTTGCAAATTGGAGTATTGAAGAACATTTTGATTAGTTGGCCATAAGCTTACCGATTTTCTATTGTAATCGGAGCTAGTCTCATTCTAGGTTCACTGCACCGGACCATGTAAACCTCGCCTGGTCCGGTGGAAATTTCAATGTCTTTGTTTTCAGAGAAAAAACCAAAAAAATAATTCACCAGGGCTTCATAGCATTCACGCAAATCCAAAAATCGCACAAAACACGATTTCGAATAGGTCTCTTCGCGATAGATTGAAGCGCCAATGCACGATGGGTATTTGGAGAAAATCTGAAAAATCGCATATTCCGGAATTTCGACGCGGAAAAAATTACGTCTTCGATATCATCGACGGTCATCCAAGGGCTTAGTTTTCCAACAAACAAACTCGCCTCGACCCTAAAATGATATCTGTAGTCGACAATTTGACCAATTAGGTCGTACGCCTGCTTAACGAATCTCAAATGCAAACTCGCACCCGGCGCAATTTTAATATTGCGTCGATTGAGCAACCTTTTGACAATTTTCGCCTCTTCGAAACTTTTGTACTCGAAGAAAAGATTTTGGCGTTTCTAAAAATTAAAATTGCTCCACAAAAAGATAATGACTTGATTTTGGCGTCGACTTACACCATCCTTGGTGAAACCGCGTCGAGCATCGACAACCTTGATTCCGCAACTCTGAATTCGTCGTTCAAGGGGCAATAAAAAAATGAGAATGCAGAAAATGAAATATTTTCAGAAAATTGTAAATGAATAATTTCTTACAAAAACTGCGTGGGCGACCAATTGCGGATCGATGGCAAGATTCAAATCGCCGACCATCAGCGTTGGCTGGGTCACTTTTTCAGTCATTTTCGGTTGAAATGACAAGTTTAATCACGTGATCCTGACGTTTTAAAATAATGACCTCACTATTTAATATTTCGCATAAACGTGTAGAAAAATTTGGCTTTCCAAAAATTAAACGATTTTTAAAATTTTACATTGTAACTATCCAATTCATACAATCAAAAACATGTGGAAAATTACACATTTAATGCAATTTTTACATTTCACAAATTTCAGCCCCAACTTTGGTCAAAACCATTCGAAATTGCTAACTATTATATGTTTTGAGGGCACTTTTCATCGAATTGCGCATTTTCAGAAATTCGAGTTAAATTAGGGGGGGGGGGGTTCTAATTGATATTTTCCAAATAGTTCAGTTATTTTTTCAAAGTAACAACTCATTAGCGTGATTCTTTAAGTTTTGACAAATCCCCAATTGCAATTGACAAACTTTTAAGTTCACAGTACTCCGTTTTGTTTGAGTTTGTTTGAAATTAAGAAAATTTTTTACCTAAAATTCATTAAAAACGAAAGTAATTTAGAAAAAAATCGATTCAAAGCAGTTTTCTGTACCTCTTTATCGTCTTTTTTTAATTTCGAGTTTTCAGATTCCCGCCACATCAGTCTTTATTCATTAACAAATTACTTCAGAAAAATAATAATAGTTAAAAGAGAGTATTATTATTATTATTTTGAATCGAAGTAACACCCTTCATAATAATTTTATGTCCTTTGAACATCCATCGAATACTGTCAATCATTAGCTTCCTGGTGCTATTAGTTCCAATCCCATAAACCAATAATACAATATATGCTGCAAATGAAGTTCGCGTATAGAATATGTAGATTTTTGTCATATCAGACAATTTATTATATTGGTCCTAAAACGAAAAAAGAAATTCAAAGGATGAATTACGATGCACTTGCCATTGTATAATCAATTAATTGGTAGGTCAAATCGTGAAATGTCAGAAAAATTGTGGTGTAGAATGATTGGAGCACCATGTTCATCTCGATATTCTTCATATTTTGCACGATTGTTGTGCAATGGACTTGAAAAAAGAAAAGAATTTTGAAAATTGAAAAAAATAAGGAAACCCCTTTGCAATTTGTGTTTTTGATGTCGGATGTAGAGAATCAGAATAATGTTGAGCGACATGGCGAAAAATGGAATTGTGCCAACGAACTTGTTGATGATTATGGTTACCTGAGATCTATTATAAGTAGTATGTTTCCGCAAAAGGAGTCACAAGACCCTGCTCATTTTCCGCACTGTGAGCCTTTAATCAATTATTTTATTTATTTCGTTTTCGTCATTTTATTGGATGCGATAATTCAATGCGCACGTAGTTGTTTTGAAGGTTGGGTCTCGCAACCCCCGATTTTTTTAAATATGTAATGAAAATTGAAAATTTACCGGATGCCTTCGTGGAAGGCAATCAGGCAGGACAACGAACTTCCTTTGGTTCATGCTAACCGGACAATTAGACAAATATGGGATTGTCAGCATCACAACACAAAACATCTGCAAAATATCGAAAAAAGCGGGTTTCTTGAAATGGACCATTTGAGAGACTTACAGCCAATCCTCCACAATACACCCATAAACGGGAATCGGAGAATTGTTTGGTTGTCGGTTTGTAGACACAACATATCCGATGAACGACCATCAAAATTGAGAGAAGTCTTGGATATTTGTAGGAAATCTCGTAAATTAGCGTGTAAGTGTAGTTGTGATTCGGGCGGAATACTGAAATTACAAACAAGTTCATTTCAAGTAGACGATGAAAGTGAGAAACAGAGATGAGCTGAATGAAAAATTTGAAAACGCGGAATGCGGAATAAAAAATCTGTAAATGTGCGTCAAACACCGAATTTGACGCGAATTTTCAGAACCTACGTTGTTTAATACTTTGAAAATGACTTTTTTTTCGAAATGCGCATGCGGAAAAATTTTTTGTTTAGCAGAATGCGAAATTCCGTTACACTTTGGTGAGAAAGTCAATGTGAAAGTAAAGTAAATATGAACCTTATTTCATTTTATTAACGTATATTAATAAATCATTTATTACTTCGACCAAAAATGAGACCGAACTATATTGTTTGAGATTAAATTTTTTTAAATGAAAATTTATTTTAAATATTTTCTTTTTGAACCCAAGATCTCGTAATAAATCAATTATTCGCATATTGTAAGTGAGTCATAGGGGCAAAACCAGGTCGACCAGCGACCGGAAGGAGGCCAATATATATTTAATCAACCCTCCGACCGGAAGCAATAATCCAAGACCTTTATCAATGTCACCAGCTCACCCCCTATATAAGCGATGCTCGTTAAACGAACGAGGAGGTAGGAAGCCGGGAGACACCCTACGATATCCACTATGTTATTTTGCCCATTCTTGCTCATAAATAAACTCTTAGTTGTTTATTGTTTGCTTCTAACACAAGCCATGAACAAGGAATGGAGCCGGGAACCCTGACCACTCGGCCGAGGTCACGCAATTCCCGCACTGGTAGCAGCGAGTGGTTTGTCTCCCTAGTTTCCTTCCCTCCACCGGTACCATAGTTTAGTTTTATTTTTTTCGTTTTGTTTTGTTGTCGTCTGCGGATATTATGGGATAAAGTTGTTCTCCTGCGCAGGAACCGCGTCGACGTTTGGGAAGTCGCGCTCGCAGAAATTTTGCTTTGTTCGCCGTTTTTGGAGTACATTTTTGAGTTGACTGGGCCCAGCCTGGTTGGGCGAGCGCGCACTGATGGAATGCCGTCAGTTTTCAAAGAGTCTATTTTTGGCATCATTTTGGAAAAGACTCTACTTGAAGACGTTGTCTTCACCTCATTTCACCACATCCTACGATCTAATATCGAAAAACCATTTCTCTTTAATCAATTCACGCCTCTTCTTTTTTTTTTAAACGCAAGCGCTGGCTATTTTTTTTAATTAAAACCCAACCATTGATTAAAAATTTTTAATATATAGCCTCGTTCCCGCATCTACCGCTATCAGTGCCTCTTTCATTTTACAGATGGCTCTAGCAAAGAGTCTCTCTCTCAGCGATCTTTCCGAGATTCGCATTTCTTGTGCCAAACCATTTTCGCGTATGCAAGATTCCGACACCGTCAAGGGATCCCAATTGAAGACTCTTCAATCCGCGTGCGTGGCTGACTTCGAAGTCACACACGGAGTTATGAGATCTCTTGCCGAAAGAGCTGAAAACCGCATCAAAGGCTTTGCCGAGATTCCGAGAATCAATACGGTAACAGCCTCGATGCAGCCAAGCTCGCAAGTCCCAATTTTTGGTGGTTCACCAAACGATACCTTCTCCGCATTTTTGCGATCCTTCAATGATCATGCTAATACAGCAAAACCTCCTTTGGGAGACCTCGAAAAGAGGAATATTTTCTTGACTTATTTGACAGACGCAGCCAGAGACCGCGCAGAGGAGTTCCTGGAGCAAGAGAGCGAAGCCTCGTTCGCAACCTTGGTTAACCATCTAAAGGTAAAATACGAAGATCCGGTAAGAGCAGAACTTTCGCGCCAGCAACTCCGAACAACGAACCAGCTTCCGGGCGAGTCCGTAGATGAGTTTGCAGCTAAGGTCAGAAAACTCGCAAATTCGTCGTACCTCGGATACTCGCGTGAATATATCAAGGCCAAAACCTTAGAAGCGTTTTTGGACGGGCTCAAATACGACATAAAATTCCACATTAAGGCCAGTAACCCAAGAACCTTCGAGGACGCCCTCAATTCCGCAGTGAGGTACGAGATTTTGCTTCAAGAAGCAGCAAGGGCTAACACCATCCACCCACAAACCCTCCCCGTAGCACTCCTACAAGGGGTAGACAACCAAAACCGCGAACGAACGGCCCGAACCCTTCCCCCTCAACACCGTTTCAGAAACACCCCACGGCAAGTGAAATGCTATTTCTGCGGACGTCTCGGACATATGATGGCCAATTGCTTCAAGAAAAACCGTCAATTTGGCCGCATCGACCCAATTGATAATCACCAGATCAGAAACCGGAATCAGCCGATCTTTGGGAACCCAGGAAGACGGACAAACAACTATGAAGGTAACTCATCAGACGTACGTAATTTCCAGCCTGACACGACCGCTGACGATACAGTAAGAGAATTACGCGCTCAAGTCGAAGCGTTGACCATGCGCAACAACCAACTAACAAACAGCATGACGCCCAGAGTTAACACGGTAAGAGTCTCGAAATTACCTTTGTTCATTGCTCTCCTCGCCTGTCTGGCAAGTCCCACCACCGCGTTTAATGCTCTTTTATGTCTACCGAACTCTCCCGAATCGCTGATCAACTTTCCATCATCGTTCGATTGCAACTCAGTCAAACCCTCCCCATTCACCCAGACAAAGAAAGTTTCTCTCAGCGTTTACCGACCAAATTCCATTGCGTATGACTCTACCGCCACCCTCTGCAAAATCATACAAACCACGTCCACTTTCTCCGTTAACCTTTTTGGATCCCGCTACATCGAAACAAATTCCAAGCAGGCAACCGTTTCGGCAGAAGAATGCAAACTAATGATGAATCATCAACGTTGCTCATTCGGTGACCTTCAGCCAAGAGACGGAATTTTTAAAACCAATAACGCCCACAGAATCGAATGGCCAAACTTTCTAATCGGCGCGCTATCCCCAGCAAAAACTGTTGTAACAAATAATTGCCTCATGCTCACAACCAGAATTATAATGCGTTTTAATCAAAAATTTCCCGAGTCTCCCGCGGGATCCATGAGGGGTTGCGACTACACAACGGGCTTCTGCAACCAACGCCAGGGAGCGGCATTCATGTGGAAACCAAACCCAGAACAGAGTTGCCGTTTCATAAAACTGCGGACCATGTCCGGTCACCAATCAGATAACATTTGGCTGTCTGAAAACAAAGAATTCGCACTGTCTTTTAACTCTTCAAATCCAATAATCGAAGACTGTGGCAAATCTCTCGTAGTCACAGATCAAGGCTTCGCTGTCCCAACCAGACGAATTGCCAAACGGGAAATAGTCCCACCCTCTATCACCAACCTAACAAACTTTGTCTCGTCAAACCAACTTTCGGCCCAGCTCTTGGCAGCAGAGAAGGATATTTTAGAGTCCTCCTCTCTTTGGTTTGCTCACTATTTCTTATCATGGTGCGCGTCCTTCAACGCACTCGCAGCGTCTGCCGTTGCAGCAGCAGCAAGCCACCCCTCACTGTTCGCGCGCCAAATACTCAACCAATCTAACATTCAAGCAACCTTCCTCGGCAAAAACACATTAGCCATTAAAACTTGCTCAGTAATTCCACAATCATCCTTCTCCATCGTCCCTTTCACTAATATTTGTTACTCTCGACCATCAATCAAGATCAACTTGCCCAATAACTCCACGCTCAACACTTTCATAGACCCCATTACCCAAATCATCACCAATGAAGCCAACCAAGTGCCGTGCGCACTGATTTCCAACTTTGAATACATGTTCGAAAACCATCTAGTACGCATAAATCCCTTTTCAGGAACTATAGAAAATACACCAAGACACCTGCTTAAATCGATTTCCCCATTTAGCATTTCAACCTCCGACCTCGTGCCATCTCAACCCACAATTTTCCACAACCTAGTCATCGGGTCTCTAACGGAAACAATCTCCCCAGCCCACTATAACGAAATCTGGGATGCATTAGAGGGTTCAGCCGACAAATTAACAAAAATCGTAAGCCGCAACGCTTTCTCAACCAGCGGCAGCACAAAAGCCAACGAGATTAGCGAAGTCATCAGCGCCTACGAGCAATGGCTTGACCTCGGTCACCGATTATTCCAGGCCTGGACCGCTATAGTTTGCACATTTGTCACCCTTTATGCAATCTTCCTCGTCGTAGCCATATTCATCAAGCAACAGGCCGAAGCGCTGCCATTCAGCGTTTCCCATCGTTTTGGCAAAAAGACGGCTAATCCACCCTCCGAAGTCATCTTCGACTATTCGGACCTATTGCCGGCAACAACTACAATAGCTACCTTCCACTCTCCACAAGCGTTTTTCACCGCGCAAATTCCCATTAAAGCGAACAACATTAATCTCCTAGCCCTGGTGGACACCGGCGCCAGCTTTACCATAGCAGGCTCCGAGATATGCGCACTCATCGGCATCCACACGCTCAACAAACCGCTGACTAACAACGCTATAGGCTTGGGAGGCAACGAAGTAAAAATTGCGGGAACCGCGCCAATCAGGTACAAAATCGGATCATTCGAAATTCAACACATCACACACTTCACAATCAATAAATGCACTCCACCGGGTCCGTTCTCCTACGACATTATATTAGGTAACGACTTACTAGCTAAACTCCCAAAGTTCCAACTGGACTATAACAAAAACACTTTCGAGATGGGAAAAGACCAACTTCCACTAGGGAAATCTTACCAAGTGAACCCGGTCTTACCAACTTCAGAATTCCCAATACGGGTAGCAAAACACACACAAATCCCACCCCTTTCCGAGGCTTTTGTCACTTGTGTTTCCCCGCAAAATAAAAACGTCTTCGACGCCACTCTCATTTCTCAAGCCAAAAAGATCACAGAACTTGGGCTTCTCATCGCACCATCAGTCATATCAACTAACCACATTGCTCTCCTCGTTACTAACCCATCGAATCAAATGGTCACTCTGTACCCAGAGATGACCATCGCCACCGCGGCGATGGTATTCTCCGAAGGCACACCTGGAAAAGTGCTGACCTGCCACTACTCTTCAGGGGGTTCCCCTGACGTTTTGTCAATAGATAACGAAAATTTCAGAGATCCACAGTTTAAGATTGACCTGATCAGGGCGGAACTCTCAGATGTCGAGAGGGAAAAACTCCAGGAGCTATTAGACACCTACGACGACGTGTTTTCAAAAAACGCTTACGATCTGGGAAGCTCGAAAACGGAGCCGGTCCATATATTCATGAATACGGAAATGCCAATCAAAAGCAGACCTTACCGAGTGCCGGTAAAATACCAAGCCGAGCTGGAAAAGCATATCAACGCCCTATTGGAATCCGGGCGCATCACAGAAAGCAACACGCCTTGGACCTCACCTTTAGTTCTCGTCAAGAAGAAAAACGGAAGCCTCCGAGTCTGTTTAGACTTCAGAAAATTGAACGAAGTAACGATCCCTGATAATTTCCCTTTACCGAGGATCGACGCAATCCTGGAAAAAGTAGGAGGGGCGGCTCTTTTCTCCTCCTTGGATATGGCAAACGGATATTTGCAATTGCGTTTAGACCCGGTAAGCTCCTATAAATGCGGATTCATTACAGAAAACAAGGTTTACGCATACACACATCTTCCATTCGGCCTCAGATCAGCAGCTTCATACTTCCAAAGAGCCCTACGCACGGTACTGGGAGGACTTGAGTCCGAGGTACTGGTTTACATTGATGATATCCTAATCTTCAGCAAAAACTTCGAAGATCACACTCACTCTCTGAGAAAAGTCCTCGACAGATTTAGATCCTTTAATCTTAAGGTCTCTCCGCAGAAATGCGAATTTGCCATAACTTCCATAACCTTCTTAGGACATGAGATTTCAGCGAATAACTACTCCCCAAATAAAGCAAACGTGAAAGCAATAGAAAATTTCCCAATCCCAACGGACGCAAACTCAGTGAGGAGATTCGTTGGTATGTGCGGGTTTTTCAGAAAGTTCATACCTAATTTCGCAAACATTGCTGAACCCCTTACCAAGATGACCCGTAAGGACATTAAGTTCGCATGGGGCGAAGCGGAACAAGACGCTTTCGAAACACTACGATCTTGCCTAATGAACCGCCCCATCTTAGCATACCCCAACTACGACCTCGATTTCCACATCTTCACAGACGCCAGCGCGGTCGCACAAGGCGCCGCTCTCATGCAGATACAAGACGTCGACAGTAAGTCTTATTCAGCGATAGCTTACGCCAGCCGAACCCTTTCGGGGCCGGAAACAAGATGGGCGGCAGTGCAAGTAGAGATGGGGGCGGTAATTTTCGCGCTGCGACAATTCAGACCATACATATGTATGTCGAGAGTTATCCTACATTGCGATCACAAGCCACTAACCTTCTTACTACAAAAAAGCAAGACACATGACAATTTAGCACGATGGCTCATTGAACTACAAAGCTACAATGTAAAAATACAACATATCGAAGGTAAGAAAAATAAGGTCGCAGACTGTCTCTCACGAGCTCTCGATGACAATCGACCGGAAAACACAGAGGAGCTCAGGGACATCATCGATTTTCCAGTATGCATGAACATCGAAGCAGAAGACGGTAAGCACGAAATTCCAAGAAACCCGTGTATTTTCAGCCTATTGGCACAAGTCAAAACAAAAGAAAAGATACCCCTCGATCTCGCCGACGAGCAGGACAAGGACGACGACTTACGTTTAGCCAAAAAGTTTCTGAAAACCGGCAAACTAGAGCAAGCAACTACCGCCGAAAAGGAAGAAGAAATAATCTGGTTATGCACTAACCTATCACTTTCACCTACTAACATACTCTATGCAAATCCCAGCGGAAATTTACCAAAACGGGCAGTCATCCCGAAACACTTAGTAGAGCTAATATTCGAAGCTTTTCACACTAGCAAGCTCTCAGGCGGACATTTCAATTGGCGCAAGACATTGAACAAAATAAAAAGAAAGTATTTTTGGGACGGAATGACAGCCGATGTGCAACGCAGAACCAAAACATGCAGCAGGTGTCAGGCAAGGAATAATCCCAACCCACCATTCAAGGAGAAGCTAGTCCCCTTCCGGAACACGCAGGTATTCGAGAGAGTAGGATTGGACCTTACGGGCCCCCTACGCACTACACCACGCGGAAACAAATACATCTTTAACATAATCTGCTGGTTCTGTAAGTACGTAATCTCCGTGCCATTACCGGACTCGAGATCGGACACAGTAGCACAGGCATTACTCACAGAATGTATCCTAAAGCACGGCGCGATGAGCGAAATCGTGACCGATAACGCCACAACTTTTACGTCGCAAGCTTTCCGAACCTTTTGTGAACTAATAGCAATTAAACACCACAGAGCGATCCCGTACCACTCAAAGGGCAACGGGGCTACGGAAAGAACCTTCCGAACCTTCCACAACATCATTTCAAAATACGTCAACACACAACACACAGATTGGGACCTACTGGTAGCAACGGCATGTTTTTGCTATAACACTACTACGCATGATACTACCAACGAAACCCCTTTCTTCCTAATGCACGGGCGTGATCCCATCTTCAGTATCGACCGCATACTTGATCCAGCTCTTCCGACCACGAATGAAACATCGACGGAATCATTCGCCAATTCTCTGGCGACGATCATACGGGAAGCCTGGACAAACGCGGCAGATCACGCTCTAAAAGCTCAAGAAAAGTTCCAGTCGTCCTATGACGCGTCAGCAAGGCCAAACCCGATCCAAATCGGCGACCGGGTAACAATGAAAGATTTTTCAGCCAAAGCAAACTTGTCAAGGAAACTAGTACTCCCGTGGAAAGGACAGTTCCGAGTGGTCGAAATCAACCACCCCAAGGCCGTAGTTTGCGACATATCAAGACCGGACAAACCGAACCGCACCGTTCATTTGAACCAGATAAAGAAGGTATACACCATTACAGGACCGGCGGCGACAACCTCATTGGAAGAAAACCCCGAAGCACCAGACATATGCGATTCCACCGATCAAGCTGACAACGTCGACACCGACGAAAATTTAGCTAGGACGGAGTCCCCAAAACTAATTGATAACTCCGAAACACACGTTCCGGAGAACTCGGCGAACGCTGAATCCCTAAACCGGAGATACAACCTAAGGAAATCATTAAAACCACCATCAAGACTCTCTTTCTAACCTTCCATTCCACGCCCTTCCTTCCTGTCTTGTTTTCTTTTCACCACCGGTCTTCACGAACATCCCTATTTATCACCCACCATACACAAAAAAAAAAACCCATACACTTCAGATTCTCTTTCCTATCTTTCCTCAGTCTTTCCTTTTCTTTGGCTTCTTTTCTCGCCGACCTTTCGTAGTCTTTGTCTTTGCACCCTCACTCCAACCCAAAAGCTCATTGTCTTGGTTTCAGAATGGACGATCCCGACTCGGGAACAGAACCCATACTCGACGAACCAATGGAAACGTCTTGGCCAACAACCCCTTCCTCAGGCATACTACACTCCGACGACAACCCTCCGTTGGAAGCGGGTGTGGTAACCGATGAACCAGAGAACGAAACTTCAGCGTTCGAGGTTAGTTTCACCTTCCAACCGGAATCGTTGCCGTGCCCAACGAGCCCCGCCTTCTGCGGTGTCTCGGAAGGCAACGCGGTAACCCGGCCAGAACATGTGGAGGCTCTCCACACCGAATCATACTCAACGGCATCGAGCCAAACCATTAACAGTGCACAAACTAACAATAAAAACCAACGAGGGGGTTCCCCTCAATTCAATCCGTTAAACCAAAGCGTCGACGCAGAATCACCAGAAGCAGAAAGCCGCAGCCATCCACGCAGTACCAAAACCGCCATAAGCAAAGGCACAACAAAAATAATCCATCCGTGGGATGACGGGGCAACCCGTTCAAACGGTAAGTCTCCCAGCATTCAGGCGTCATTCTAGTGGGCAACGCAAACATCATTGGAGAAGCCGGATACTGGAGCGAAATATTCCGCACATGCCGATACGCACAAACGATTCTCACCGAGTCTCAACTACCGGAAACACATTAATCACGTTGGTTCCCCTTTACTTATTTATGTATATCAAATTCACATCGCACACATTAAACCATCTTCTCTACATTTACCGCCACATTTACCGTATCACAATTTTGATTACTTTTAAACCACCCGGCGTCTTAAACACTACCTCGTTTTTAATATTGGTTTTAATCCCCTCAATCAACCTTTTCCCAAAACAAAATTTTTTTTTCCATCATCATATCTTCATATTATCTGCTCTCTCCATATCATTCACGTTATTTAATTGCATTTTGTTACACTTTGCCTTTATATTTCATATCATATCTTTCATTTCACATCTTATTAATTTTGTTTTATTTACTTGTAAACGTTTCCCTTCCCCTTCCTCCGTACTCTAAGAGCAAAAATCGCTGCCCACTTCAACGATCAGAGACGATCTTGAAGAAAAGGGGATAGGTGTAAGTGAGTCATAGGGGCAAAACCAGGTCGACCAGCGACCGGAAGGAGGCCAATATATATTTAATCAACCCTCCGACCGGAAGCAATAATCCAAGACCTTTATCAATGTCACCAGCTCACCCCCTATATAAGCGATGCTCGTTAAACGAACGAGGAGGTAGGAAGCCGGGAGACACCCTACGATATCCACTATGTTATTTTGCCCATTCTTGCTCATAAATAAACTCTTAGTTGTTTATTGTTTGCTTCTAACACAAGCCATGAACAAGGAATGGAGCCGGGAACCCTGACCACTCGGCCGAGGTCACGCGATTCCCGCACTATATAAATGGCATTTAAATTTTGATGTAATTATTCTTTTGATACATTTATTTTTGTTTGATCACCTTCAAAATAATACTCGTCGTCCCATACCAATGGAAGATAGATAATGATGAATGAGGCGAACGCGTTGATGATATTCGCCAAAATCATATTGTAAATATAAACGGTTGGAATACTCGCTAAAATTAATTTTTGATGAGAAAAATGCCTCAGCGATGTGCAGAAACATCCCCGAATTTCTAGAGGTCTCAACCATATTTTTTTCCAGAAGACGTTAAAATGCTTTTCAGCGAAAAATAAATTTTTAACATTTTACATGACTTCTGATAAAATTTTTATTTTCTTTTTTTGGTTAATATATTTTTCGTCGAATTTATTGCAAAAAAACTAACCGAAACCTCCAAAAATCAAGCGAAACCCACAGTTTTTCGAATTTGCCGAAATTTCGGTAATTTTTCTACCGGGGAAATGTTGCACGCGAAAAATTTTCCGGATGATCTTCCCAAAAAAAAAAACCACAACTCACATTTATCGCCAAAAACTAGAACAATGAAATAGAAGAAAATATTGAAGACAATTGAAATAATTAGGATCACAGTGAACAGGACGAATGTGAAGAAAAGGTCTTGGGTCATAGGTTCTAGATAGCCGAATTTGTGAAATTCCAAATTGTTGAGTAATAATCGAATCTCGTCATATGTCGATTTGCAGCAAGGCGTTTCCTTAGAATTACGTTATTTTTACATTCATAATTAAAGTCAGAAGCGGAATGATTCTGAAATTTTCACACGCGTTGTGATGAATCATTGAATAGAAATTTGGTTGTCTGCGGGAGTTGGGAGCAGTTAATCATGCACCGAACTCGGTAGATCAACAATTCGCGTGTGCTGGTTGTTCCGATGCCATTGACAAGGAATACAAGAAGAGCGACGAATGAGAGTCTTGTGTAGAAAATGTAGACTTTGACAGATTCTGAGAACGCATTATATTGCTCCTGAAAAAATGACATTTTGAATTGGCATTTTTTTTCATTTTTGAAATTTCATGTCTCACTGGAAATAGCTGAATTAATCGCATCGAAATATCATACGTCATTTGGAATAATGTCGTCGAAACCGATTGAAGAATCATGCTCTTTTCGAAATGTTGAAAATTTTGCGATTTATTTGTTATCGAAATCGTGGCTGGAAAATTTGGAAATTATTAAAAATATATGTTGATTATAACTCACTACACTTGCGAGCTTGTCCGTGTTTTGCCGACAAATAGCATATGAGAAAAAATGTTGAGAAGCATAGCGATCAATGGAAGAAATCCGAGGAATTTCGAATGGATTTTGGTCAACTGGAATTTGAAAAAAAAAACGTTTCATATGAATTGCCAATTTCTAATAGAGCAGGTGGAATAAAATTTAATTTTTCTATCATTCAGTTATGTATCTTTAACCGATCTGTAAAGGTTTGCTCTGGCATTTACAAAAAAGTGAAATTTTCAATTTTTGTCAATTTTTTAAACTAAAATTTTAAGTTTCAATTATTCAATTAGTTCGTTCTTCTTTGAAAATGTTTCAAAAACCATTTTTCATAGGGAATTCCCTAAATTAATCAAATGTGTGCAATTTCACGTGCGAGTGTATCAATATTTTACGCGAGCCGCGATTTTCACAATTTTCTTCAATTTTTTCTAAATTTTTACCAAAAACATGCATGGCGAATTAATGCCATGAACAACTTATGTACATTTCTAGAATAATCTCTAGACTGGAATAAAAAGTCGACTGAAATTTTACTACGCTATTAGAACACTACTTACCGGATGAGAATCCGGATAGCAATCAGGACGAAATAAAAAAATTCTTTGATCAATATTAACCGAGCAATCTGATAGATATGGAATTATTAAAAATACGAAGCCAATTGCCTGAAAGAAAATTTTTAAAAGAACCCTCCGAACCATTTCAAAATGATACCCATAGTATTAGATTATACAGCCATAAATAGGAATCTTTGAATAGTTTTGTAGTTGGTTTGAATACACAATATATCCTATGGAGGACCATTAGAATTGAAAGGATTGTTGGGTGCTTGTAGGCTAATGAAAGTATTAGAGTTAGACATCGACCAACGTTTTCACGAAATTCTGAAAATCGCCATATTTGGTGAAATAGGGAAATTGGCACCGAAATAATATTGATCACTCCATAGAATTGGTAAATATAATGTAACAAATGCCATAATATTAGTGAGATTGCTGCTAATTAGCATATTATAAATGTAAACTGTTGGAAGTTTTGCTGAAAATTTCAGATGTTGAATGAAACGATGAAAAAGAGGCTCTTGCATTTGTAGCCATAGTACAGAATGACATAGAGGAAGAAGACGTTGAAAATGGTGGCTAGAAGAAGGATACTTGAGAAGACGATGAATTGAAGAATTGTGTGAAGCATTTCGAATTTCAGAAGATCTTTTTTCTTAATCACCACGAGATGATAAATGAGAAATGCGCCTTGAAATGAAATTTAGTGGAACGTTATTAACAAATAACAATAATCATAAAAAAATTATAATATTCTTTGCGCAATTTTATGCACTCTTCATTTGTTTTTCAGAGATCGGAATATTGGGTGTATTAAAGACATCTCAAAATTTCGAAATTTTTGAGAAAAAAAAATTCTGAAATAGTGGAATTTTTATAATGATTTTCTCGATTATATTCATATTTCAGCATTCCACCCAAATTGCAATGGACCAGAAAAGCATTGCAGAAAGGAACTCTGCCAACAACGATAGCCCTAGGGTTTCGGAAAGGCGCAATCAAGGAATCAGTCTAGACACAACCCGAGGCCCATGTATACAGCCAAATTTTTATGTACTTAGGGAATTCAAATAAAATATTTTGAGAATCAAATATTCAATAATAAACTCTAAAATTTTTTGAGAAATTCTAAAGTTTATTGATACTGTCTAAAACTTATTGAGAATCGCTAAACTTAAAAAATATTTTTAAAAATCTTATAAGATTTTCTAAATTTTATTGAGCAAATTCTAAATTATCTCAATAAATTTTAAAATCTTATAATAATTTCTAAAGTTGATTGAGAAAAATCTAAATTATTATAGAGGCACGTTAGTTTCTCAATGAATCTCAAAATATTTTATTTGATTTGCCTGAGTAATAACTCAGAAAAAAATTTTAGAAAATCTTTTTTTTTTAGCGAATCTCAATATATTTCTCAATCAATTAGAAATTATTATAAGATTTTAGAATTCATCGAGATAATTTAGAATTTGCTCAACACAAATTTTAGAAAATCTCATAAGATTTAAAAAATATTTTTAAGTTTAGCGATTCTCAATAACTTTTAGAGAGTATTAATAAATTTTAGATTTTCTCAAAATATTTTAGAGTTTATTATTGAATATTTGATTCTCAAAATATTTTATTTGATTTGCCTGAGAAATCTCTGTAAGAGTCTCTGACGAGTTTTCACTCGAAATTTCCCGAATGGCATTTTCATTAATCTCGGCGAATTCATCTCTCTTGTGCAATTAATGTTTAAAATTTGGATGGTTCCCCGAATCGAATTTGCAAAAATAGAACTCGCCGCATTTTTTTGGTTTTTTTCTGACGTCAATCATAACTTTTGATTTTTTAAAATATATATATATATATTATCGATTTTTTATAGTTAATATCATATTATGCCTCGTGGTCCGGCAAGAGATATACATAAGCATTGTTGACGGAAATTGTTGTAAATTTTTATTCAAGAATTAATCATTGCTATTTTCATTACAAATATTTTATTTCCAATCTCCATTCAATAAAACTTAATCTATTTCGAGTATTCAAAATTTTCAATTTCACTTTTTAAATTCAATTCTACAGATTTGAGACCATTCATTTGATGGCCAAAGTACCAAATAAATTGGCCGAAGTTTCCCACGGTGAAAATCAAAAATTCCACCTGCCGACACATTTTCCTTTCTAGAAACACACTAGTTGAAACCAAACCACAAATCCGTGATGACGATTGTTCTGTAATCTGTCATTTTCTGACTGTCTACTGTAATCTGTCATTTGTGATAGGGTAAAATTGAAATGCATGAATCGGTCACTAAATCACAAACTGAGAAAAAAAAACCCGATGCTTAATTATACATAATTTCACAACTAAAAGCTGAACACCAAATTTGAAAACAAACCAGTTAGATAGATGAATCGGTCATTGGATCGGATTAATTATCCCTAGAAGAAGCCATCCGGGACATATAAATATTAATTATATCAAAATTGGCAAACTAACAGAATAGAAACTTCTCAAGTTTAAAATTCAAATAGTAATAGCAGTATTAAAGATTTTTGGAAATAAACTCTAGGAATTTATTTAGACTATTTGTATTTTTATCTAAAAACTTCCGATTTCAATCTTTTTTTTTCAAAATCATTTATATCAGCACAACTCAATTTTAAGCTTCACCGTGCAATTCCGAAATATTCGATCAAAATTATTTTTCGATTAAACTAATTTGAGACAATTCATTTGATGAACAAAATACGAAATAAATTGGCAGAAGTTTCCCACGGTGAAAATCGAAAATTCCACCTGCCGACACATTTTCTTTTCTATAAACGGACTAGTTGAAACTAAACCACCAATAAATGATGACAACGATTCTACCGTAATCTGTCATTTTCTGGCTGTCTACTGTAAATGAACTAATGCCTAATTTCTTGGAAATTATGCGAATTGGTCATGTAAAATAAAATAAATAACAAATGGGAGCATGTATAATTACAATAAGAATGTTCAAAAATACTTTAAAATCAATTTTAGAATTGGTGGAAGAAATTACGAATCGAGAGGATGAAATCACTTATTGGATCGGATTAATTATCTCTAGAAGAATCCATTCGGGACAATAATAATTAGTTATCAAAAATGACAAAAAATGGAATCGAAACTCCTCATGTTTGCGTGAAAAAAATAAAATAGCAACGGCTTCAAAGATTTTGGAAAAAATCTCAAAAAAAGTTTTGAAAAAATAATGTTTGAATAAAATTTCTTCTTTCCAGAAGCTTGAACTTAAATAAAATAAATATGTTGGATTTGGCGGTCTGCAAAAGTGAGGAAGCTTCAAAAACAGTAACAATATTTGTAAATTAATATTTAAAAAGGTAATAAAATTAATAAAATTAAAAAAAAAAGTATCAAAGGAAAGTAAATAAAAGCAAGTAAGTAAATTGTATAAAAGTGTCTAACAATTTGGTATTTTTTTAATAATAATTTGAATAATCTTCTTTGACCGATTCTTAAAAAAAAGAACTGAATCGAAATTAAAATTTCTTATAGGTTTTCAAGAAATTTTCACAATTTATTGAAATCTCCTACCTGGGAGGTCCCTAATCCGAATGATCAAATGAGGTTTCCAATACCTACTTCGACATATCATTCGAAACCCCATTCAATGCTCATTTCGAAAATCGCAAAATTAGCCTGCCTAATGGTCCTTATATGCCACAAAATTCGTTTTTATGTATTCATAGGCTCATTTCTATTCTGCATAAAGTCACATAGTACTATAATCCGTATGGCATCGTGCGATTTCTAAGAATATCCACGATAATCCTGGCGCATTTGATCACTTTAAGTCTTCATTTTTCTTAAGTGCTTCTATTATTAACAGATAGTCGCTACAGTAATCATCGTCGAGTTCGTAGTTTGTACTTTCCAGTGAGCACCCGCCCAATTCACGTGACCAAGGCCACGCCTACCGAGCGTCAATCCCAGATCCCGCCCATTTTCGACCTATAAAAGGAGCGATTTTCGAGTGGAAAATCAGAATCAGCAAGCAATGTTGACCACTCTTCCAATTATCGCCCTCGTCGTCGTCATCGCCATCGCCTCGGCTTCATCTGCACAATCGGACGATGAATGCAGCATTGCGGACGTGTTCCAAGCCGCCGAGACATCTCTCAATGGCGAGCAGAAGGAGATTCTCCGCAATGAATTAATGGTGAGTAGTCAACAAGTTTGTTGGCACGTAATGATCGCATCGGATTTCAGGAGCAGTGTTGGGAGCTGCTCAAGGAGGCACTCAACGACGAAGACCGATACCAGAAGCTGAGAGAAGCCTATGAGGAGGGCGGCGAGGTAAAGGAGGCTATCAAGATGGCCTATCGACAATTTGAGCACGAACGATCTGGAATCGATGGAATGGTCTTCGAGACCAAGGATGCGTGCTTCGAATTCTGGAACATCCCTGTAAGTCATCGATTGAATTAATTAGTTAATTGGGGGCTAATTAAGATGTTCGACCTGCCGATCGCAGATGAAAAACCATTGATGGCAATTCTTCAAAAGCTGAACGTCACCGAGTACCCGCTGGCGCAATACAAAGAGGATCATGATTGGGATCTATTCAAGAGGGAGGCGTTCTTCCAAATGGTGATCCAAGTACAGCCAATGGTGAGGCGATTCATTTTTGAAAACAATTTGGGAGAATTGGTATTTAGGAATGCCGAAATCGGTACTTCAGAACCAAATGCGAACAATTGTTTGGAAAGAGCGCGATTCCTGAGGTCGTCCGAAATGAATCACTTCATGGAATGGCGTCGGCGGTAATTCCAACATTTACATTTTTCTAGTTAAATTCCAATGAATTTAGGTGAAATATTTGTGTGAAGCCAATGAGAAATTGGAGTTGAAATGGAAAAAGCAAAACGAGCAGAAAAACGGAGAAAAATGGAGAGCGGAAATCGGAAAAGCGTTCCGATGGATGACGAAGCCGCTGAGATTGGGAGCCACGTGGCTGCTGGAAAATGAAAAACTGTTTGATCTCGCCTGGTTCACGGCGAGATCCTATCAATTCCTGTCAAATGATTTCCGAGTCGTATCACCCTGGTATTATGTAAGTGCTTGGTGATCAAAGGATCGCATGTGATTGTTCAATTTGAAGGTCCCAGCGATCAACAAATTTAGAGAGATCTGCTCATCAGCAGAGCGGTACGTCCTGCGATTGCACTCGTCGCAGAAGTTGTCAAGAAAAGACAAATTCGAGAAAGTTCTCGAAAAACTTGAAAATGGACATCTGGCGGTGTTCGGGATCAGCGAAAGCGAAGCGATCAGAATGGCGCACATGTGCCGAAGGGTCGAGGAGGTCCGTCGGTGGAATATGTACCAGGACGATGAGGAGACGGTAATAAAATTTGAGATAATTTATCTTAATTACATTTGTTTTATAGGCTAGGATCAACAATGATTTAATGGAGATCTTTGACGGGGTGTTTGGCGATGAGGAAACGGTGTGGGCGGCAGAGACGGTTGAGAAAAGAATAGCGGTGATCGATGAACTGGCTCATTCGTCGATCAGGAGGCCGAAGACGATAGAGGCGATGAATCGGATGCTCGATTACTGTAACAAGACAATTGGGGGGGGGGGCAATTGTCTCAAACGGAATTGATCGGAAGGCTGCGCAAAGATACTGGCACTTCGGCCAACTGAATCCGGTAGGTCGTTTGAGAAGATTCCTCGAAACAGATGACACTTTGTTCAGAAGTGGGCGAGCGATGGTCAATGCGTTGCACCAGATGTGCACCAACAGTTGGTGTACACCTTCGATCAGACAAACAACAACAACGTGCAAGGAATCGAGCCGCTTTGTCATCTGGCGATCGAGGTTTTCAGCTCGGTTTTGCGAGCCATACTTATCGAGTGGTTTTCAGGTGAAATGTCGAACGATGCACGGAATGATCAAGACAATCGGAAGACGCCACGATTCGAAAGGTTTCTATCGACAAATGCTGAGGAATATAAATCACTACGACGATTTCTACTGATGCTTCATTGTATTTTCTTTGTCCATTTTTACACGGGCTTCCTTTTACGTGGTTCTTTCGTCCCCCTCTGCTCAACACTATGTATTGCTCTATTTTTGAATAAATCTAATACTCGTAATCAATTCGAAATTAAGTTTTAATGGTACTTATTGTCGGCGTAAAACCAGAGAACGACAGCCATCATATTCTCGAAATAAGTAGAGATTTAAATTTATCCGAATATTAAATGCGCGTACGTTATAATGCAATGTACGTAGTCTCTCAGCGATTCAATCGGGACGAACAGCGGTTGTTTTTGGGTTTGGGATAACCCGCGGAACAATTTGGGGCAAACACGGGAAACATTGAACTCGGTCAAAACAAAAGTCGTCCACGGTTTAGCCCAAACTCTAAACGGAGGGCAGTTTGTAATTGGAGTGTCGTACTGGAATTATTGAAAATTTTTTAACGTTTACTCAATTTCTATATAATTTTCATCATTATGTAAAGAAAAATTAATTTTAGTTCTAGCGCAGTCATCCACGGTAACGCAACAATTGGAATGAAAAGAAGAAGGCCAACGTTTGAAGAAAATGGTATGTCAAATAATGTTAAATACTCACTGGCAGAAGTGAAAACGATGATTGCGGAACAAAAAATGAATGGTTTTTCGTCAATCAAACAGTAAAAAACCATTTATTTACCATAAAATAATAAAAAACCATTCATTAACCATCGAAAATCGTTCATTCGCGAATTAAAAACCATTCGTTAATGAGACGATTCATTTTCTAAATAATCATTTTTCATTCATTAATAATGTTTTTGCTGTTCATTCATTAACCATTCGACTTCGATCGTTCCACTTCTTCCAGTGTGCCGTAAAATATGAGACTGAAGATATAGCCTAGCAAGCATGGAATAATAAACACATTTTTCTAGAGACAATGCTGAGAAATCTTGGCATACGTGTCACAAGACCAGCGTTCTTCATGGATATGAAGGAAGAATTTTGCAATGAAAACAATCATAATTTCGAAAAGTCGCTGCTAATTCAGCCGCCGTTTATGAAAGACGATTCGAATTGTTCACTGCCAGACTCGGTCAACTACTCAATGAATGATTTGGGGTTCAACACTCAGAATGATGAGATATCGCAACGATATGACGCCATTGCAAAGGTTAATCAATTGCTCAATCCATTTTGTTTATCGAAGTCGTGCATTGAAGCCGTGCTGCTAGCGGCACATTTTATTTGTAGCTATAACTTAACGGTAAAACTAAGCTAAGAGAAAAACTCACGATGCATGATTTTAGATTAATGATTTAAATGAGACAAATGAAAATGTTTTCTTATCGAAGTATAAACCTAGAGTTTCTGTTTTCTGCAACGAATGTCTGGTGTCAATTGGAGCTTCAAATTCTTGTCAAAACAATATCTGTATTCGATTGCGAAACGCCCCGGTCAACGAATGCAAGAAGGGCTGAAACCAGTCCCTGAGGACGTTATTGACGCTATCAGAGGTAATCATCAAAGAGTCAATACCAAATGGAACCTAATTCAGACTTCATTCTGGAAAGCTACGGATATCCAGTAAAATTGCAATTCCCTGGATATTCAGTAGAAGATCTTCAAAATGAAAATGCGAGGTTAGTATATTAACCATTAATCTTTTATTTTACTTTTTTCAGGTTGGCAGCAAGATTGGGAGACAATAAAGCGGAAATAAGTCAACATTATGAGAAGCTGATTATGGATGTGGCAAATATGGTGGACTTTATTTATTTCAAAGCTCACCGAGTTTTGTAAGTTTTTTGTAATACTTTATATATAGAAATAAGCTATATATATTCAGTAATGATCTTCGGAACAAAAAAATTGTGGAAACCCAAGGTCAAAATGGAGTTGTGCGCAAACGATTCGAACAGGATCCAAACGCATTAAAAAGGAAAGAAAAGGTAATAGAAATCACAGTTTTCTAGAGTCATGAAATAACTAAAACTTTTTTTATTAAGAAAACATCGAACGACTTCCGCCATTCGCCGACACCGATTTCGGATGAAGAAGACGTCGATGAGGATGAAGCCAACAACGACATTGAACATAACGGTGATTTGCTTTAATCCCAATTTTTTTTTGCTCTGCTCATTCGTCGAATCGAATAGAATTCATCTGTTTCGATTCAACGCAATATCTTAAATGATCAATCGATTTCCATTAGAAGTCAATTGGAATGTAGTTCGATTGTGAAACGAGCAATACGAATTTGATTCTAAATTTTTTACATTCGATCATTCATTAGTATTCGACGAATTAGCAGAGTGTCCTTGTTTTTTTTGTTATCCTAAATGTTAAATTATTCATGTTTTATTGTAATCTTTCCTCTTTTTTTGTCAACGTTTTTATTTTAAATATCGATATTTGCATTATTTGTTACCTATTGATTTTGGAAAGGTTCGAATAAATATGTTATTTAAATAAAACGCGCATTACCCAATAAAATTTATGAGCTGCTAAAACAAGGGTGATTACAACACTCCGCGCGTACACCCGTCGTTTGGGTTAACCCGCGGAACATTTTGGGACGACCAGTGTGACCCCGAGGGAAGGCCGTTCATCGTTTTTGGGTTCGCCCAAAAACAACCGCTGTTCGTTCCGATTGAATCGCTGAGCTCATGTACTTCTCGCATCCTCAAATTGTTTTTGTTACGTTCAGTTCCAAAAGCACTTGTCTTTGATCGAGATTATTTATTTATATAAAGGCGGGTTAAAAGTCGGAGTAGTTTCTAAAATCCACTCTGACAAATAAATTATTTTGAGAATAAAATAGCAAATAATTCATATTCAGCAATACATAGTAAAGTTTATTTTAGAAACTAACCCGCCGTTATATAAATAAAGAAGCGTTTTATATAAATAATTAACCTCGTTCAAAAACAAGTATTTTTTGACTGAACGAAATAAAAAAAATTGGCATTATGTTTTTGAGATTGAGCTCACCGAGGGTATTGAACACCTCAGCTTCAGAACTTTTCCTTCTTCCGTAATAGTGACGATTCACGATGCGAACCTCCGATACATGGTTCATCAAAATTTTCAATCGAGTAAGCAAAGTTCGATAAAAAATGTGATAATTTTTGTTTCCTAATCTTAGGTAAATTAAAAATCAATCGGATTCGAAAATAATTTATTTTTCAATCTGAATCGAATGTAAATTAATCTGTTTCAATTTATGTTTTCGAAGGCCGTAATCATCTGGTTCCTCAGGTAAATGAAAATCAATCGAATTCGAAGAAATATGAAATATTAATCTGATTCGATTAAAAATTAATTAAAATTCGATTTGAAAATTTGGTTTCGATTCAAGAACTTTCAAAATCGATTGATTTATTTCGCAATTTCAATTTTTGATATTGAATTAGATTGAAATTCTGGAATAATTCAAAACAGATTAATTCACATTCGATTTCGATTGAAAACGAAATTATTTTCGAATATGATTGATTTTCATTTACCTGAGAATCGGAAATGAAAAATCAGATGTTCATTTTTTTTCTGAATCAATATTCTGCGAAAAATTCAAAATTTATTGCATTCCACTGCATAATTCCAATTATATCTAAAACGGACGGAAAACATATCAAACAATGCGCAGAAAACTGATGAAAAAGGGGTCTGCCACAGATCATTTTTTTTGTCCGCATTTGATCCATGTTTCATCGGGTTTTCATCCATTTTCCGCCAGCTCATCAACCACGTTTCGTCTGTTTTTTATCAATTTTCCTTGCTCATTTATGCTGTTTTTAATCTATTTTCCATCGGTTTGGTTCCATTTCAACCATTGTGCAAATCCGACTGTTTCAGAAACGCCGAGTTTATTGCATTACAACGAAACATTAGGTTTTTTAAATAATAATAACAAATGAAAACAAAATAATTAAACAGGAAATGTGTCCCTATCATAGTTAAATTTAACAACATAAATTAAAGAAAACTCAGTCCCGCAAAAATAGTGAATGAACTATTAATGGGTATTAGCAGAAACTTAATACAGACCGTAATATCATCAGAAGGTTTGGATATTCTGAATTATTAAGCCAAGCGAAGTTTTGTTTATATATTATTGATAATCGGCTCGATTATTAACTTCTCATTCTCTTGTTTTTCGCAATATGAAACTGAAACAGAATTATTACATATTATAATGAAAAAAGAAAATACCAGCACGCCGAAAAGTGATCATTTCTGATGCTTCCTTAACATTCCAAACGGCGAATTATATTGTGAATATTTTTCCCCGTTCACAGAAATTGGCCGTGAAGGGCCTACATTCTTCTTGCATAAACTTGGAGCCAACCGTACAAATTGTTTAAGAATTTCGCTCGGCCGAGATTCCATTCGTTTGTATAGTTCGTATTCCAGAGTCCTCCGGAGCCTGAATCTGAAAAACAGAGTAGCGTTATTATCGAATGACGTTGGAAATTTCTTCCGGGCATACCTAGATAAGACGACATGGGCGAAATTGTTACAAATATGCGTATATAGAGCGATTCAAAACTTGTAGTTGAAATTGTCATTGGATTTCCAAACATTTCAATGGTGTCATCCAAATGGAAAATAATTTCCTTAAAATTAGTTTAGATTTTAGAAGAAAATTACACATCAGCTACATGATTTTTAGTGGTGAAATACTTGCAAAAACACTATTCGAAATATCCAACATTCTCATATTGGCCTCGTCTACTTCTTTTCAATGTTTCTCTCCTCCGCTTTTCAATAATTGTCCTTGTCCAAACGATACAACTCGAGTTCTTAATTTGGTCTGAAATACTTCTTTTGTTGATATTTAAGAGCGTTTATTTTTTGCTATTGATGAACAGTTTTACTATTTTCACGTAAAAACATCAAAAATTTTTACATTAATTAATTTAGAACTTGTTCTTTACGCACTTTTGATTCACTAAAACACAAGAAAGGCGCAGCAACGTAATTTGCCAGCTATACATTTAAAAAGAGTGACAAGAAATTAAAAGTTTTATAATTGTTTAAAAATTACCTTCGTTGAGAACTGATTGGCCCCTTTTTATTTTCTTCCTTGTATTTCATGGCATTGAAATTCCGTTTTCAGGAAAGCTTTCTTTGAGAATATTCTGAAAGAATCATTCTATCACCAAAGAAATAAGATGGAGTAAATGCGAAAGTAACTGACCAAGTTTATATCGATTTTTACGAACTGTTCTCTTAGAAAATATGCGTTGAAGATTTAAGAACACCTCAATGAACGTTAGGTCGTGTTAGTTCTATATTTTTATATATTTCAGCAACTATTTTTTTTATTAATTTAAGGAAAACGAAAGTATTTAATAATTTTTAGGAATTTCTATTTCGAAATTCATAAGAAGTCTGTGTGCACAGGACGAAAATCTACACAATTTGTATACAGTACCATGCGTATTTAATTCCATCCGCTATTTGCCTATTTTTTATCCATCTTTAGTCCATTTTCCTGGCAGGTTATTTGCAATCTATTTTTCGTCTATTTGTTAGGGGTTTTCATCTGTTTTTTTCCGCTATCTTTTTTTCTTTCATTTTTTAACCCTTTTTCATCTGTTTTCCTGGCTCATCTATTTTTTATATACCATTCAACCGTTTTTCATCTACTGGAATTATGCAGTGTTCGCAAGAAACGAGTGAAGAATTGTGGACCATCGCACTTTGGTGAGGCGTTAATTTAAATCTAAATTCAAACAATAATTTGGGTACCAAAAAACGTTTTTACATCGAAAGCTATTTATTCGAATTTTTACAGTCTATTAGTATTCTTATTTAAGACATTTCGAGCGTTCTCTTTTTTCTCACACATTTATTAAGATTTTATAACAATTTGAAATACATGAGTGGTGTGCTTCGAATAATCTTGATTCAAATCGGATTTTGGGTGCGAGGTCATTTTTCCTGGATATATGATTAACTTCAAATGTTCAGGGTCAAACGACTAAACTGGAATGCCAAATCTGCAAAGCCCCCTTCGCAAAAGTTAGCATCCTTGGTGCTGATCAAATACGACATTTAAAGCTATCAATCGCTGTCGACTGGGGGCAATGAGACGTTCAATCTTGCCAGTGAAAATACCAGTCTATTTTGCCACGGAGATTCTTGATTCCCAGTTATTTCGCAAGCTCTCCGAGGTTTATGTCTAACATTTTTTGAGTTTTTTTTCTTATTTTTGACAACCTATGAATTCACCTGTAACTAGAAATCTTTGATATTACGTCGATGTATTATCCT